ATACTTTACAAATCGATATTATTTAAAAAACACTAATATTGTTACTAACCACCAACCTTGAATATTCTGTGTATGTAAACATGTATATAATTGTAGAGCCAGAAGAGGAATTTATCGAAAAGAATATTCTTTGCTCGATTATTTTGTGTTTTATAGATATCTGAATGAATATTTTTGCTATATCCACAGTTTGCCAAGGAGTTTGAAATCATGTTGAGTAGTTTTTTATTAAACGATGAAATGAAGCTGATGTATTTGTTGAGGTACTGCACTAGAGTCTCTTCAAAAGCTATAGACTGCTGTAAGGTTGTGCCCCCAAACGAAGGATACTCTGAGGCTATGAGCATACTGCATCAAAGATTCGTAGGACCTTCGATGATTGTAAGGAATATATTTGAGGCTGTTAAAGGTAATGGTAGTGAATTACAAGATGACTCCAAGGCACTCTCTGAGCTTTTGGATAATCTGATGACTTACAAGAATACGTTGATTTCCATGAATTGCATGAGCGATCTGAACTCAAGTTCAGTCCTAGAGGTAATAGCGAGACGCTTACCTACTCGACTGCAAAGGAAGTGGGGGAATATGAGCTCTCGTATAAAGGATGAAGATATTGAGCCAAAGTTTGTTGATATCCTGAAACTGGTAAACAATAGTGTCAATCAATCTATGAGCAAATTTGCCAGTATATTGCATCCTACCCTAGAACAGAGAAGTCTGAGAGCAAAACGCAATCATTGATGACGAAAGGGTCTCAAAGAAGTGCATATAGAGAAAGCTTCATGGTGTCTGGTAATCCATATAAACTTAGTGAGTGTAAAGCTTTCGTGGGACATCCCCAACAGATAAGTTACAAGTTGCGAGAGAAACACGGTTGTGTTTTACACGTTTGCAAGAAGTGCATACAAAGGCGAACTGTGAAGAAGTGACCAAGTTTAGTGGTAACCTAAATGTGAAATCAGCGTCATCAAGTTCTGATTCCGAACCGTGTGACGATAATGGTGCGAAGAAGAAGCCTGCAGTTGCAACTGGTAAGCCATTGTTGAATAGAGTGCAACAGACGGCAGCGCAGTTTGTGCAGGAGAAGAGACTTACAGTTTCAGAGTACACTTCTGACTCCACCTGTTTACAAGGCATTACTAGTCAGAGTAAAGGTATAAAACCTTTTAGGATTTATGAGGAAGAAACCAAATCATCTACTGCAGTTAATAAAGAGTTTGAAATCGATGAAGTCGACCAGATAGACAACGGTAAAGAGAATATTTGTGGCAGTGATCATGATAGTGCACCTTTGTCTATGGTTGATCATGGTGAGATGAGGGGAATGCCTACTACTACTGCTGAGTTGAACAAAGGTTCTGTACAACAGGTGAAGTAGATTTAAGAGTAGATGCAGTGGTAGAAGGTATGGATACTCATGAGAGCGTCAGTGTAAATGATCAGCGCGTAGCCCACCTATCAACACATGTTAATGCTAAACTTAAGCTAATAATAAAAGACAGCAGTGGTGGCAATCTTGCAGTTGGACGAACTTCTAAAAGCCGAACAACAGCATCTTCTGATGCACCGCTAAGATCATCAACTTGTGTCAGTTAGTCGTCGTTGGTGTTGTCATCCAAAATGACAGAGACGTCCATGAACTCACAAGTCTTGTGCTATGACTATGCTAGTATCAGTCTGTTTGAAAGGACGAATGTCAATTGTCAGTTTAGTCAGGATGAGTCAACTGTGTATGACAGGGTAATTGTCAAGCTGACTTGGACGATTAGTTTCTAGTTTCAAGTTACTATTTGAATGTTATCTTTGGTGTAAATTACTCTGTTACCATGCAGAATAGTGTTCTCGCACCCTTTTGGATACAACTCGAGTCGAACGACCGATATACCCAGCTCCACACGAGCAGGTGAATTAATAAACGCACATAGAGTTGGTCAACAGTGGGGCCTTGTCCTTCAGTTTATTGAAAAGTAATGGTCGGCTAGTAAATGCTATTTTCAGGGATGCAGCGGGGGATTTTATTCTCAGGGACTATGTTATCCTTCGTTTCATGATATCGGAAGCTAAGTCCCCTTTGAATTCCAAGCTCATGTAAATTATTTTCTTGGGTGCGGTTGATAAGTCACGATTGTAGGCTTTGAATGTATATTCTAAGCTATAAAAAGTGGCAGAAATCCATTTTCTATTAGGATTTTCCACAAAATGTATAACTCATCCTCCACAGTATCGGGGCTACATATGCGCCGAATACGGGTGGCAAGCGACCGGGTGAGGTTTCATTTACGGCCAGTGGGTACCCAGCTGTAGAAATTTATCAGTGGGCCATTCCATGACAACTTACGATAAATCGATCTCTTCAGAGTTCCATCGGTCCTCCTTGATAAGTTTACATTGAAGAAATGAATGCTAGACTCGTCCTCCATTTCGAGTGTGAATTTAATCGCAGGACGGCAATCATTAAATATATTTGATATATTATTCAAGTTACAATCACTATAACAAATACTGCAGGTGTCGTCTACATACCTTTTGTATACTTGAAAGCTTTGGATTATAGGTGTAAGCGAAATATCGCTTGAAATTAAGTCATGCGTAGGTAAAGGCTATCCCGGTCCAGAACAAACAAGAAGCCAGTCACTGTTTCTACGGTAATATTAATAATTATATTATTATTATATCCTTTAGTTCCTAGAGGAACATAGGGCTTCAGCTGCGCACCTCCATTGCCTTCGGTTTTCTGCTAACTTTTTCACTCCGCTCCAAGTCTGCCCACATGCTTTCATCTCCTCCTCGCATGACCTCCTCCAAGTCGTAATATTAATAAACAAATCAATAATTATATACACAACAAACCTTAACGGTTTCAAGAGTACAAAGCATAACGCTTAACAGAAAGCAAGGTACCGCTATCAGAGCGGAATAACGTTAAAGCCAAAATTGCGAACTAGCCGGAATCAGACACGACCGTTCAGGTAAGCAGTTGGTAGAAGAATGAACACAAGTAAGACAGGGCGTAGAACAGAGAGCGGTTAAGAGATAGACAGAGCATAGGCACAAAGATAGAATTTAATAGGCTACTTAACCAGGTAGGAAGATACAGACGAAGATCAATAAATAAGACAAACTCGACAGAATAGTACCAAGTAAGGCATGGGTCAGCAAAAATAACAGTTCACAAAATACTCTGACTGGGTCATGAGTTCAACTGTCTGACTAAACGGATCGAGGTAAAAGCAATGCACACAGTTCATTAAACAAGGAGGGATAGACATGTTAGGCATGGATAATTGGGTTGCAACAACGCTAGGCTGATCCGGAACAGGTTGACTTGGTTCAGGGATGGGAATTTAATTGATCTTACAATAGGCTTCAGCTGACCATTTTCTAGACTAGACATAAAATAGTCTGCAATAAGAGGACTCAAGGGAGAACCCAATGCAATGCCACCATTCTGTCTGTAGATTGTTTCATTGATAATAAACTGTACTATTATTATTATTTTATGCATTCACACCTACTCTATATATGACATTAACTTGCTTTGCCAATAGACATTTAACTACGATTATAATCACAAACATTTTAGTTTTATTTGCATTTCATATTATTATTATTTTACACATGATGATGATTGAATTTCCTTATCGGATATAACATCCTGAAAACCGTATACGAATGTACAGCTTGCTGATAAATTCGTTGAAAAGAGTTTCTTCATTGAATCACTTGTTTTGATTTTCTTATATTTTTACGTATTTATTTTGTATAGACAGATCCACACCCTTTTTTTTGCCTCAACAGAAGTGTGGGTGCTCAGAGGTGTTGTAGAGGAGATGGAATTCACGGTATTGGAATAAGTCATATGTCAGTGTCCAACTCTTACTACACTGGACCTCACGCTGTCCCTCGGAGACTTTCAAAAACCATTTGTAATAACCAACGCGAAAAACCAGAACACAGATTGGCGACTCGAGAATCCCTCATTCTTACGCCAATATGTAACCAACAACAAGGTTAGTATACACAAGGTCTAAGAATAAATGTTATGGCAATAAATCACGATAATACTTCTGATAGTTATCTTCCACTGAACAGCGAACAATGAGACGATGACTGATGGATGGATGACTCGCGCGAAAAATATGGAGGAGTTGGGTTTGAGCAAACAACCATGAATTGATCGTTCAACCTTCAACTACATCGACAAAGGGCTCTGGTGACTTTAGGCGCTTTCCGCCGCCTTGTAGCAGTGGAGACGTCATTACTTTTTCATTTAAAATTCATTCTGTAACATGCAGGTCGACATCTGCTCTTCCAAATACATGTGAAGTGGATACGCCGGGAATCCGGAACGCAGAAACTGCAGCTGGCTGGTCAGCTGTTACTAGTCAGGCTGCACCCCTTTGTTCCCTAGTACACTAAAGCTGTCGCTCAAGCCACCTTGGATTATAAGTGAAATAAGGAGGCGGAGGAAGAACCAATTTATTATGAGAGGAAGGGAAAATCCCCAGAAGGACTAAAGCTAAATTCCAGACCCCTGTAAATATCTGATTGACAATAATCGTATTGATTACGAGAGACGACTAGTGCCGGATTGTGGTCATTACCTGAAAAGACTGTACTCGTATTTTAAACGTAGGACCGAAACTAGCAGTGGTATACCGTCACTCATAAGCATTATTGGAGAAGCGGCCGAGTCAGGCGAGTAAAAGGCTGAAAACACTGCTACAAAAACTTCAAGCCTGTAGCTTGAAGCCCTGTGTTCCACTGGGAACGTGAAGGAAAAAAGAGGGTTTATCATAAAGATAAAGTATGATGGAATCGCCGACTACACCTATCACAGTAAAATGAAGAGTAACTGCGGTTCCACGTGTCAAAAAGTGCGTTTTTTCTTAGACGGTAGCATTAAGCGTGAAATTATCCAGGATAGGTTGAAATACATAAATGACTGAGGTCATTGACAGTGGCGCCAACGGCCGCCGTTCTGAATTTGTCCTTGAAGGATGTTAGTATCTCCCAGGGGGAGTTGTAGTCATTGCGATCCTGATATTCTCGAATTTTCGGAGTTTCACTGGATATTGCGATGTCGCTGTTACGAAAATTCAGATGAATGTGAGCCTGGATTCACTCATATATAATTTTTAAGCTTTGGAGTGGCGTTGGTGTAAACCGGAGTCGCCGCGTCAATCTCTGAGTCTTTCCGAGAATGATGCAACAGTAACATTCCATCCAATGATTAGTTGGGGCACGGCTGTTGTACGTGGGACTACTCCGCTAAAATATGGTCTGCATTATTGGGAAATGAAGGCTGTTTCACCACTATACGGGACTGACATAGTAAGTTTTTGTCCTAAAACACAACTGTTTATTTCCCATCACAATATTTTCTCATTGTAAATTTTTTTCTCGTGTCACCTGCCTTGTGGTTTGATAGTTCTTCAAGTTTTGAAGGAGCTAAAAATTCCATCATATTCTTTTAAGGCTGTAGTGTTTTTTGGACTCCTCTCCCTAACTAACTGAATTTCTTTTTCACAGTACGATTCTCAGTCTCTATCAGTCACCTTAAATATGATTAAGTTTTTGAAATGTGTATTGATTGAAGAAATGAAGTAGAAAACGATGTAATTGTGGAACCTAAGTCCTGTTTTGCAATATTGCAGTCATGGCCATATATATTTTCAAAAGCCTCAGTAGTTCCCATTAATTTCTTCAAAATTCTGGTAAATGGCTCCTAAATTACGAACCATCTTTATATTCCGAATTAGCTTATGTAGAAAGACAAATGCTGTTGCGTTGCATAAGTTGCTTTCGGATTTTCAGATCATCAGTAGACCGAATTACCATACCTAGTTGTTGCACTTTCACAGCTCGTGACAAACGAAATTAGCCAATCACGTAGTTGAGAGACAATTGTATCCTCAACTTGTTAACAAACAGGCATTAAAGTTAAGTCTTGATAATAATTTAGTTTTAGTATAAATACAGCCCATCTCACGTGCACTTCGGGAAGTCATAATCGAAATTTTCTGATTTAATGATGGAAAAATCAATATAGAACCCACTGGAGTATTAGAGCCCAAGTTTTTTACTCCACAAAATCACGCAACGGGCATTAGGTTAGCAACCCCATCCTGTAGAAATAAACGCTGCTACAGAAATTTCAAGCCCATAGCTTGAAGCCTTATGTTCTACTGGGAACGTGAAGGAAAAAAATACTTTAGTAAACGTATGACATATGCCTAATGTCAGTTTACGCCGTCTCTGCAGTAGACGTGATATCTGACTGTCGACCAGAGGACGTGTGTACCGCTCAGCAATCCGCTCAGTCCTCCTTTACGGCTGTGAGACCTGGCCAAGTCATCGCCTTCCTCGACAGGCAATGTTAGATGACATAGGATCAGGTAGGAAAAGAGCCAGTGGTGGGCAAACCACCGCCGACAACTGCTACTTCGCCGTGGTGGTCGGGCTTGAATATCGCAATACCCAACAAGCTAAACTGACTGGGTCTCATGTCCCTGCAGGTCTTACCATGTCAGGAGGGTTGTTTGGATAGCGGTTAAACTAAAAGCAGTTACTATGGGGTACATGGGCTCCAGTATCCCATCGGATCAAATGGCGTATGAACCCATAAGGGTCACCGGCAACCATTTGAATGCAGCTCCTGATGCTGCTCCGCCACCTTGCGGATTAGACTCCAAGTCAAAGGCTCTAGGGGGGTGGTTCGTTAATAAAACCACCTGCTTCGGTCTGGGCGCCCGGGCAGTATCTCAGCCGTCACACAAGAAATGAAGTAAGACAACAAACTTACTGAAACTCTCCGCGTGTTCGAAAAAAATGATTTCAAGTAATATTGTTGCCTCAAGTAACTTGTGTCCTTCCTGCCTTACTTTTATTTTCATACAGCTTCTTGTATTTTGCCCTTGCTAAACTTGACTTCTTAACCTTCGACAGCCTTTTGCCTTTGTCTAGATTCCCAGCCTGTGTCGTTTCTAGATATCAGTGAGTAATTCTCAAAATGTGACATCTAACACAGATATCCTGAAACCGCTTGCCGCGTTCAAGTTGGCCACCTACAATGTTCGGACGCTGATGCGAATCGGATAACAGGCAGGGTTGGTAAGAACTTTGGAAAGCCTCACTACCGATGTCCGCTGCATTTCGGATACCCGCATTCAAGATCCCAGTGAAGTGCTTCGACTATCCTCTCTATCTGAAAGTTCTAGCAGTATGTACCATCTGCGTTTATCCGGGAACCCTGTGGCATCGGGATCCGGCGTAGCTGGTGTCGGTGTCTCACTGAGCACTAGAGCCGAAGCTGCATTGCTCGACTGGATTCCCATTTACAGTCGTTTATGTGCTGTGAGGCTGAAGGGTTATACGAAAGTAAGGAGTAGTAGGTCAGATAGGCGGTGTCTATTTGTTGTCTCTGCCTATGCACCGACGGATTGCAGCCCGGATGCAATGAAGGACGAGTTCTGCTACCAACTCAGCGATTTCTTGAAACAGGCGGGTCGGAGGGATATCGTAGTGCTGGCTGGGGACTTGAATGCACAGGTCGGGTGTCTAAGCTCAGAGGAGAGTCGTCTAGGTGGTCAATGGGGACTACATGGTCGCAGGTCAGATAACGGGGACCGTCTTCTGCAGCTTTGCGCGGATCACAACCTATTTCTAGCCTGCACCAACTTCCGGCACAGCCATCGCCGTAGCGCTACCTGTCGTCCTCCCTCTGCGATGCATACTTGGACTCAGATTGGTCATATTGCTGTCAGTTTCCGGTGGAGAGGATGCATACACGACTGTCGCTCCTTCTGGAGCACATGCCTGGACTCCGACCATGCGTTAGTGTGTGCCAAGTTCGTCTTGCGATTTGGTGGGGTTCATAAAAGCCGTCGTCTAAACGTTGATGTGAGCAAACTAGTAGCACCTGCTACTTTTAAATATCAGAATGAGTTACAATCAATGCTTGCTGAGGATGTGCGGCGACTTTGCGTGTTCGACCATCGCTGTCTTCGCAGGATTGCTTGCGTTCGATGGCATCATCGCGTGAGTAATTCTGAGGTTCGGTGGCGTGTGTTTGAACACAGTGGAGATCACCATTCATTGAGTGTCGTCATCTGGAAACACCGGCTCCGGGGGCTTGGATATGTGCTACGAATGTCATCCCAGAGGCTTCCGTATAGGTCTCTGTTCGCTAGCCCTGGGACGGGATGGAAAAGGTGGAGAGGTGGTCAGTCCATGACGTGGCGTCGTGGGATGAGGGATTTTTGTGCTAGGTTAGCATCGGTTGGTGTGTCACGACTCCCTGGTTGGGGTCCGAGAGATAGCTCAAATCGATGGCTCGAAACGTTATCGGATATGGCCAAGAATCGTAATCAATGGCGAACGTGTTGCAATTTCCTTCTTTCTTCCTTTCCCGATGATAGTTAACGAATACTGTTTGAACTTGTTAAGCATGACTGTTTTCCTTCCAGATGAAGTTCTTTATCAGTTCTCTACTTATATATATATATTTTCTTTTCCTTCTTTTTTTCTTCTGATGTATGTTGTTTTATTATTATTGTGTGGCGCATCCTTCTTGGTGCCATATTGTACCAAGTTTTTATGCGTTTAAATAAATAAAAATGAAACTATATTGTTCTCCCATATTATCATTCTTTCTCCCTCACATTTCTGCCTATTATCGTCCTTTCTAATACCTTTCCCTCTTTTGTCTTCCTTTGTGAGCTACATGGAGTGTGGCAACTCGAATTACTGCACAGCTGTGCGTAGTTCCACTTTGGAACCAGCCAATCAGTCAAACAACCATCGAAAAATGAGGAGCACTTGATAGTTGTTCTCATCCTTCAGCAGTGAACATGTGAAACTTCCAGGAACAGAGCTGATGTTTGTTCATATTGCGATCGTAGGACATTTCTGTTTGTTTTCCTTCTGTTTGAATCAGGGATATTGGGTTCGACCATGCAGTCATTCAAAATATTGTATGTGTTGGCAGTTACAGTTACCTATATTCGCTTTTGTGTACTCTAATTGTTTTGTGGCTTTCCATCTTTGTGTTTCATCATTTCTAGTTTGCTGTTTGGTTTACTGATAGTATAAGTGTAGTACTGTTGTTGTTGTATGTGTTTCATAATTTAATTGAAATGACACCTTTGCTAAATCAATTGAAGTTCGGGCACCTCATGCTATAGGCATGACTCATTGCTGAGGAATTTCTTCCACTTTTTAAGTAGTACACTCTGTTTTGTTGACTGTAGCGGGTTGTGTTTACTTAATTAGTAAATTTCTAAGATTTATTGAAGTTTTCTGTTTCCCACTTATTTCCTTTCAGATGATTGGTATTGGTCGAAAGTGCGCAAAATTAGATCAGTACTCACGCCAGTTTTGTTCTGCACTTGGTATTGATTCATATACATGGGGATTAAGCTATCGCGGTGTACTAATGCACGCTGATCAGGCATCTCCCTTAGGAACTTGTGCTTTCAAAAGGGGAAGCATTATTGGTTGTTTTCTCGATTTGTGGCACTACAAGCTTTATTTCTTTGTCGACGGACAACTGGATCCGAAGGCTTGTTTCAAGTGAGTTGCTTTGATTTAGGGAACTTAGAATTATTTAAAAAAGTTTGTAACCTATTTTTTCTTACACTCAACCAATTACCGTCAGCCTTTATTTTGGTGCAAGCTTCTGCAATTGCAAACTTTGGTTTACTTGCTCAAGTTAGCTAAAATTAGTTTCTCCAAAAGAACAGTAGATTATTAACATAATCACTTAAAATTTTAAAAAAGTGACTGAGTTTCCAGCATAGGAATCCGCACAAAAGTTCAGCAGTTCAGTTTTATACGAATCATAAAGCACAAAAGTGCAAATAAAGAGAAGTAAAAAATGTTTCAATGGACTGTTACTGTTTTTGTTGATTGTTTGTCTAACTTAACCAGAATGAACCTCCAGTCACGATACTGTAGCTAACTGATCACTTGGAAAAATTCCCCACACTGAGTAAACACAAAAGTCAGGTGTAACTGAAACAACTGCAGCGTAGAATACAGCATATATATACATATATCAACGGGAAAATCCAAACACAACTAAATAATAACTGCTACTCGTTGCACAAAAGGTGGCTTTCGCGGCCTAATTGCTGTAGTGGATAACGCTTTGGCGTTTGAAACTGTTGTTACTGGGTCCTAACCTTAGTGGGGGCACTGTCACTCACTGGGGAATGCAGGTATATCCAGTCGACGAGTCCCAAGTTGGACGAATCAGGTATTCTGGATTCCGCTAATAGTCACCATCCACCGAAACCTACCAAAAACTTTTCATTTGTCAGTAGTTTGTAGAAAGTTTCTAAGCTCGTTATATGAAAATTTGTATTTCCTAGTGAATGGAAAACAAAATAAGGTTGTTTTGATAGAATTTAGCCATTTATTGTTAGTATTAGCTCAATCGAAATAGGTACAAGCAAGAAATTTATATTTAGCTACGTATAATGTAGACTTGATCAACGCATTGTTTGGATGATTTTATGTTGCAAAGTAAAATAAAATTAAGAATCTCATGAATTATTTTATGTTTGTCAAACTATCAGCGTTCCTGTTGTGTTGTTACTTAGCTCACCAGTGACATAACTGTTTTGTATAATGGCTTGTAAGCCGCGTCTGTTGTGCCATGTGTGTTATGCCATCACTCGTTCGGTAGATTATTAGGAATTAGAATGGAATTCGACAATGTGATCTTAAAGTTCAACAGCCGTAACTTCACAGAATGGAGAAGTCACATCTGTCAATTTAAGTTGCCTGGTCTAGATGTGTTCATTTAGAGTATGAGGTTTGTTGAGAAATTCAAATAAATGTCTACTATCGTACTATTTACAAGATAGGACTTCTATTACTTCAAAACTATGGGCAATGGGTTGAAGCCTCGGTGTTAACATCACTTACTGCGGAGTGCAGGTACATTCAACTAACGAGTCCCAAATAGGATGAAATGCGCGTGCTGGATTCCACTGCTATTCACCATCCACCAACAGTAAATGTTTTGTTATGCAAAGAGTAAATAGAACATTTTTTTTCAAGCAGTAGACAGAATGAACTTGAGTGATGGTTTGCTGAATAAGAAGTTTGTACAAATCAAGAGTTATTAGCCTTTGGTTTAATAACCTATAAGTTGGGTCTACAGTCAATATAACTTCTATTTAGAAACAGCGTGATTTCTCTGAATATATAAGTTAGTGATGCAAAATGTTCTGACTATTTGTGTAGCATTTCATGGAATTCGAATTTGAGATTTCAATTAAGGAAATTCAATAGTGATTTTCGTAACAGCATTCAACAATATTTAAAGGACTTTCACCAAAATTTATTTATTTACAGACGTCCACAGTTTTGTCGTTAGTTATTTTTCTTTTCTCTCCTTTCGACTGTATGAAACTTGGTGGTAGTAATTTGCCACGTGACGAATACTACCCAATGGTTTCTTCAACTAGTCTAAAAAGCGGTTTTCGTCTAATTCGTGCTAAATCCTACCCAATAACTCTTCAATTTTTGACGTGTTACGCTCTCTACCAACAACAGTATAACTACTCTAATTTGACCACTCTGGACATTCCTTCTGGTCTTTGGGTAAGAGTTATTGTTTTACCGATATTTTAAATTTTATTGTGTGTTCTGAAGGAGGTAGTCTAGGTATACTGCTGAGTTAAAGATGGTTTGCGAAACAATATTTACAAAACAAGTTACAAAGCGGCTCGTGTATCCTTCGCAATTTGTATTGATTTAAGAGTAGTTCTTTTGGTTCTTTTATTTCCTAGTAAAATAAATACACATCAGTTAAGTCCACCATTTCTATCACAAGAGTAGACTATGCTCTGTTCAAACCAAAAATTTCTTCCACTTCATGATTTACTTTACTTTTTACTTCCTAATTTTTATAGTATAGTAACTGACAAAAAGATCTAGATTTTCATAAGTTCTGTTTACAGTTTTCTGATAAGTTCCTTATTACTCCATGTTACTTGATTCTTCAAAAATCTCAAATCCGATTGCGGTGCTCACTTATTTCTGACATCAAATAGAGACCATGATGGATGAATTTTGACCAGTAAGTAGATTTGCATCCAACGGTAAATTCGTGTAAAACTCGTCAATTTAGGGTTTCCTCTGTGAAGTTGATCTTGAAGAAACCATAAGGGGCGAAAGTAGTTGTTATTGAAATGACGTCATCTTTATTTTTTCAGCTTTCCGTTGCATCATATATTAAATGACAAGTATCTTCAAATCCATAGTAAATTATGTCGTTTCTTCCATTCCTCTTTATTTCACAACTTTACTTGTCTATATTCAAAGAGATATAGTAGCGCTTAACACACTAACTACAGTCAGTGAAGTATAAAGAATGAAAAATTCTATATGATTGTGTGCCACAGCTCGAATCAGTGAAATGAAAAATGGAGAATGTTACAGTACCTGCTTATCTGACAAGTATCACTGACAATACAGCCAAAGTCATTCAGTCGTTAACTCAAAGTGCATATTATTACTAAAACCTATCTGATTGGTTCATTTAGCTGGATGCGTATATCATTCATAACTATAAGTTGTAAAGGACCATTATCATTGAAACAAAAATAAACTCCATGTAAACTCATGTGAGTGATAGAATTGCTGAACGTGTAGTTTTGGAAGAGATTATTTAGAAAGTTCTACCTTTGTTTACTAGACAAAATATAGTATTCGTCCTACTGTTTTTTGTTATTTTTGCCAAAATAAAAACTAACGATTATTATTATTTCAACAATGTGACGTAGCTCACATATTTCGTGTTAATGGTTGATAATCATTCTTCTGCGTATGTGTGTATGAATGACTGTGTAAGTATTCATTTGCGCATACACTTCCTTCAACTTTGAACCACAAATCATATTTGATTTTGTGTATAATGTGTAGTTTTATCACGTGCGTGTACAAAAATGTATGCGTTCAGCGTAGTGTTCTTGCTTCAATTTAGTACGTGTGTGTATATTTCCATAACAAAAATAACCAATGTCAGGGAATCGTTTCTCTCCTTTTGCTTCGTCAATAAATACATACATCGCACTGAAGCATCTTATGTTAAAAGTATACGCTACCTACAAGAACAGAATTTGGACACTGCGATAGAATGTAATCTCATGTTTGGTTAGTTTGTTTGAAATAACATACTGTAATAGTGATCTTTACTGGTGAAGCTTTGGGAATAATGTTTTTATTTTAATCTTTTACGTCGTTTATGAACTCAAAAATAACCTTCATTTTCTCTACATTTAATGTTTTAAATGGTTTAAAACTGGTATTTGGTGTTGATTCACACAGTAGTCAACTATTAATGGAAATGCTGATCAAGGACTGTAGTTGTACGAATGTAATCACTTCTAATTTTGTTACCTATCAAGTTGAATCCCAGAAGAACTGCGTGTTACATATTATTTATATAGGGATAAAACTTGGTCGCTGTGGTGGAGTATAACTCCATTATGGATAAAATTTTTTCATAAAATCACACAGTGTTATACAAGGTGTTACTTACAACTCTCTCAGTGGTAACGCCCACGTTTACGATCGTTTATATACTTGACAATGAGCCATATCTTTTATTGAAACACTATACGGCTGATCAAATCTCTATAGTTGGGTCAGTGTTTAAATCAGTAATCCGGTTTGCAGGTGAGTGGTATTCTGTCAAAGCTAGTGTGGTAAAAAATAGTAAATATCCGTTTTTACACAAATTATATTTAAGTCTTTAAATGATAATAGCTTGCGTCGGTGGCACAACTGTAGAATGCTTGCCAACTACGCAAGTGGTTCCGAGTTCGATCCCCGGTCGACGCACTCCTTTACCTTTCTAAGCCAGTAATAAGACTAGTAAAGGGGAAAGGTTGGGCATAAGGCTGGCAACCCCATCTCGTAAAAATAAATACAGCTGCTACCGTAACTTCAAAGTTCTCGCTTGAAGCTCCATATTCCACTGGGAACGTAATGATCATACCTGTCATTAACTGTGTCCACATAGGGTTCAAAATTTAACATTTTGGAAGGAACTGCATTCTTCAACTGTCTCGAAATTTTGTACTTTATATGTTTAATAATTTGCTAAGAAACATAATCAAAGCCATTTTCCGTTGTTTTAGTTTGTAAATGAAGTCTTCTAAGTTTGAATTATTATTATTATTAATCCTATTCTGCATTTTCTGTTTCTATGCTGAAGTAGGACTAAGTTTAAAAAGATTTAGAAGTGGTCAGGGGAAAGCTGGACACGAACCACTCCATAAAGTCATTCATCACTGTTGATTTGAGAAGCATAAGGGAGGTGTAAGCTGTCTACCTGCAGTCCTCAGGATACTGAAAATCAATGATTGTAGATTGTTGGCAACATCACTCGGAATAGTTCTCAGTGATATAGGTGTATTCATTCCTTGTCATAGTTCAGATTTTGATAGTGTTAGCTAATCTACGAATGAATATTTTTCCCACCATACATTTTCGTACTTTATAGTTTTGCAGTATTTCTTGTTTTTACTACGATATATACTTTTTCGGAGTGTGGAGACTTAAACTGCCCTGCTATTTTGCCAAGTTCTACATTTCATGTCATTTAGTCACGTTCATAAGTGATGAGCATCCTGTTGTTCTCATTTTGTGTACCTTTACTATGTTGTTAAGATGTTTAGTTATATTCAAATCAGTCTTCGTTATACAGAGATGGATGTGGTTTCGCTTAGTTTTTATTATATGATAAATATTCATGGTGTTAATACCGTTATATTGTAAAACCAAAAGTTTCCACCTACATCTCATACTTAAGCTCATTAATTTGCTTCTGCAATTTTATTCTTTATTGAGTTAAATTGTTTACCGTGGCATTAGTGATTTTGCTAAAGTTTTATACTGGTTTTCTCAATTCATCAGTTGGCTGACGAAACTAAATTGTTTTGTTTTCCTCTCATATTCATAGGAGATATTGAGCAATACCCTACCGTATTCACTACTATTCAATAGAATTAAACAATTTTCTATCGAACATAACGCTACACAACAAGTATCATGTGATCCAGTGTCTTCGCCTGCAGATTCATCTGACTACTTTTTGTGGACTAGTTTTTCTTGTTCGGATACTGAGGAACACTTTTCATCTAATGAAATTGATCTATATGCTTTGGATATTGTCGATCAAAGCACACAAGATATGAATGATGAGACTGGCGTGTCTGTGAATGAAGAAGCCAGTGATTTCAACGCTTATTTGTAAGTTACACGGTTTGTTGGCAATTTGGCTAGTTTTATTGCTAATATAGTTTTTTTATCTAGTGTTATTCGGTTGTGCATATATAAAGCAGCGATAAAAATCCTCCGTATCTTTTGTTGTAAAAATTAAAGCAAAATCATTAACGCAAACAACTTGGTACATGAAGTTAACCGCAGTTAACAAATGGAATAAGTAATTTGATAATGTGCATACACTGAGGTTGGTTTAGTGAACCTGGTGTAGGCTAATCTTAGATCACGCATCCCATCCTACAAAATATTTGCATTGTGACCCAACAGCTTTTCACCCTGTTGTTTTTCTGAGTAATTTCCTTTAGTTAGAATGGTAAACGGTATCAAGAAACATAGATTATATTGTAAAACAATCTTTTGAGATGGAGACAGAAGGTAGAACTGAAATTTTCGTATTTATGGATACTTTTCAGAAGACCTTCGTGTTTTCCAGCTAGCTTGGTTGAGTGACATGTGTTCAGTACTAGTCAGTGTAGAAAACATATCCAACAGTCTAAGTTGCTACCTCTGAGAAAAAGCACACAGACGTAGAGAAACCAAGTGTAATGAGCCTACAGCAGATCAAAACGTTCGAGAGGAAGAATATTTAAATAAAAACTAGCGAGGATTTTCAAATCCCCAAAGATAAAGAATAAATACATATGCACCATTAAAAGTAACTCCTATTTACACGACCTTCAAGAGGACCAAATGGCTTTTCTTTTTTTTAATATTCTTATTCCCTTTGTGAGGTGACATTTTACCTTCATACTTATTTCCCAGAGTTACTTCAGTAAATTCATTATAAAGACAGTAAAATTTATTAGTATTTGTCTCTCAAATGAAAACTCCTGTTGTAAGAACAGAAGACAAGGGCCGTTTTATTACGGAAATCAACACGTATTTATATATATTTCCTGTACATTATTATAGCTTATTCAGTAGACAAACGCAGTCTTTTGATTGGTTGTTTCGGGTAACCTCGGAAAGTGGAGCCACCTATCTGCGAATCATATTTGCCCACGTTAAGTCTGGTGTGATTGGTTGTTGAATCAGCCTTGCTCATATTTTCTCACGGCCAATATTAGTGACCTAGACATTGACGTAGATTAATGTCTACCAATTGGCTAGCAACCTGCTCTCACCACACTGCTCTCTAAACATGAAGGAATTTAGTTTTGTTAGCATAAATATTGGTTTGTTTTCTCTTGAATAAATGATCTACTAACTGGTGTTATCTTGGTTTTACGCATTTTAGAAATATACCTATTCCTAGTCCAGCTAGTCAAAATTGTCAGAAAAGGCGGTATCAGGCTGCTATGTCTGCAAGTTCTGTGTTGGACAGGTTGTTTACTATGGAGGCGAAAAACACTAAACGTACTGGTGTATCTGATGAAGTGTCATCTAGTATGATAAACAATGTGAACGAATCAAACTTTGATAATTATGAACATAAACTTTGGGGTGAATTCAATGATTAATTCAAATGCGAGCCATTGTAACAAATGATATACTATGAAGTGTCTGCTTTTATATAAAGGAAATTCAAAGAATCCTAGATCTGTACATAAATTGTTGTTAGTTCATTGTACATTCCTCTGTTCAGTCTTTCATGCATAAATAAATTTTTGTTGTAATAACAGTGTTTTTAGTACATCATGTTGTTTATTGTGTATTGGTTTTTGCTTTTATTTTCCAGAACCTTCGGTGTTCGCGAATGTATTTAAGGTGGTCATTTCTGTATTAGACAACTCACTTAAATGAATCAAAAGTAAATAAGGTTTGGGAAAAACTTGTGTGGTAGTAGCCTCAGGTGTTCATTCACTTGTGGACTTGGATTTTGTAGTGTATCGGGAAATAAGTCCTGTATGATGTTTTAATGGAGTGACCCACTTACCGTAAATTGTTTGTATCATGTACATACTTCCCATACATACAAAATGTTGAAAGATTTAATAATAAGAAGGATAGTAATTAACACTAATCTTGATAATAAATTCAGATGAGGATTGCCAACGCTTTTTTTTGTACAAACAGAAAGGGGGGCTTAATCTTACGGTTGTCTGTCATCTCATTTTGTTTATTCTAATTAACCTTTCATTGACAAGTAAATGTCTGATGATTGGGCTGGAAATATGTGGTGAACAGTGAGTTTCTTTAACTCTGTAACCTTTCAGAACATTCAATGGCTTAATAAAGGTGTTCCTCCTGTGTATAGTTTCCCGATTATCTGAGCCATCATCAGCTTCAACATAAGAATGATAGAACTATTTTTTTTTTGTGGGACGGGGGTGCAGAAGTGATACGGTTTATTGCCTTATTTTTGGCTGTTTCTTTAGGATACATTTTACTTGAGTAACTGGCTAAGGTTTAGTAGTGAGGGATTTTTTTGTAGTTCACTTGATAACTGACATCAAAACTATTTACTATGACTTTAAAACAGAATTGAATATAATTTCTTTCTGCTAGCATGGAAAGTAGTGATTGTCTATTAGCATATATTTCAATGAGAGTATATTTAGCGGTATGACATTCTCGTAGTCGAGCCTGTCCATTTATATTAGTTATCAGTTTTAGAACTGCTTCTTTGGTTGTGGACACTGCATTGATATTAATGAAAAGTGTTTTGTACGATGATTTTCGTTAACATTATGGTTTCTAGGTATTGAATAGAATCCGACTCAGTATGCTCCATATCTTACCTTAAAGAAAAAGTTTTCTGCCGAAGAACTAAGGGGTTTTAACTTTTTCCACTAATGATATTACTTTTCTTTTCTCTCATGAGTTTTGAAAATTCTGATTTGTGAAACATTTTATGTTCATAGTAGCTGTCGATTGTTTTAATTTACTTTCAGATCGGTGTTCATTTCTGGAGGAATCAGCTGCAATAATCCCATGTCTTGTTACGATTCTGAGGCTTGTGGAGATGATAACCATAGTTTTCGCCCCTCAGTGTGCAGTCGGTCGTCTCGAGAGTCTCCTGTTCAGAATGGGAATTTGGATACTGAAAGGAATATTGGCACCGGTTTGTCCAGTAACTTGTTTTGGCGCAGCAGAAGTCAGCCTCCGTTTGGTGAAACTGTGAACCACATGAATGCAGCTTGTGGACCTAGTTTTCTCAATACAGAGTCTAACCAACAAGTATCTGCTATTGGTCCTACTGATTCTGTTCATACACTGGGAAGTTCACACTACACAACTGGAGTTGGTCTTTCCAACAGCGCCCGTTCTGTTGGTTTGTCCAACTCAAACAGAATTTCCATGACTGGAAATTCTCGTATTTCTCATCAGCGTCGTATTCCTCGAACTAATCGTTTCACGCAAATCGAGATAATGTTCCTGGCTTACTAAGTAGTAGTAGCAGTAACAGTAGTCTAGTCGGAAGATATCGTACAATAAGTGGAGTTAATTCACGCCCACAGTCAATTGATCCGTCTACATGTGAATCTCATTTGTCTCGTTTACTAAGGTTTGGTTCACTTCGATTTGATGAAACTATCACAGATGTAACTGAGACATCAACCAGGAGGCAGGATTCTCCTTTGGGTGACTATTCAAATGATGAATTTCCCGAACTTCCTGTTAGATTAGGATCAGGTCCTTGTAATTTCCGCTCAGCCGCTAGTTCATCTGCGAATGCTAGTCCATCTGTTACTTCAAATGCACCGTCTACACCTAATAACACCTCAGAATCTCAGGAACAGACACAATGTAATTCCCCTATCACTCCTACACACGTATCTTCGATCTTGCCGTCATCCAGTATTATCACAAATGCTGACTGTAATACCGAACACTGTACTGGTTCAGTAACTCAAGTGAGCTGCTCAGTCCCCACTACCGATATTCCTAGTTCTGAAACGACTAGCGTTTTTGTTCCGCCAACTCCAAAACAATGTTCTGTCAAGTTTCCTAAACGTGGGGAGCTAGACAGTCAAAGAGGTTCAATCGGGTCAAGCTCTGTAAGTATGTGGAGACTGCAAGCCGCTTTTAATGCATGTTTTTCTTTCCATGTTACAAAGTAGACGCTGTATAGTAACACTTAATTTTTAGTTTTCTTTAATTATAAGATATAGCATTGTTTGATGGCTTGATACTCTAATAGCATACATTTTGTGCTCTGAACTTCGTGTCTTGTTATTGTCATAATATGTGACGCAAAACGTTGGATTCAAAGTTAGACTACTTACTCATTCTTATCAAAGTCATTATTCCCTTTCCTATAACGAGAAAACCTTTTTTAAGATCTGTGAAACTACAGGATTCTACTAGACCAAGAAGCATTGTCTTCTTAACATTTCTGCTTATCCGACGAGTTGCAGCCTGGATGAGTTTTCCTGGAAGTTGAGAGACCTAAAGAGTGCTTGTTCAATAGATATCATAGTGCTAGCTGCGAATTTGAGTGCATAGTTTAAGTGTCTTTGCTCAAAAGGGAGTCATTTTGGGTGGTCAATATGGACTATATGGTGGCAGGTCGGATAATGGGATCCATCTTCTGCAGCTTTGCGTAGATCATAACTAATTTCTAGTCAGCACCAACTTCCTCCACACTCATCTCTCTGGTGCTACTTAACGTTCTCCCTCCGTCACTCAAATAGATCTTGTTATTATCAACTACTGATGGCATTATACATTTATCCGGGTTCTAGTTAGGGTTTAGTTTGGTCTAAGTTTATTTTGCGATTTGGTAGTGATCATAATCGTCGTCCTCAGCAGGTTAATGTAAGTCAATTGGTATCATCTGTTACCATTGCTAAGTATCAAACATGGCTAGGCCTGGTACTAACCTTTCAAGACAGATTAAATAAACATTAGCTACACTTACAAAACGCTACGCTTGGCAGAACATCCTACTTAAAACTACTGGGCTTGTGTGAGTGCCTTCCAACTTCTTAGCACCAATAGAACAAAAACCTGCGTATGGCTCCTACTCATAGAATCAAATAACACTCCTGTAAGGACTGTGCTGGCTGCTGGTGAAGATGTGCGTGTTAGGTGAAATAGTCAGCTGCGTCTTGCAATAGTCGAAAGCTATTCCAGCTCATCCTCGCCAGTAACAGCAAGAAGCATGGTGTCAGCGAAATTATTTGTGAGGCAGACGGTTCTCCTTTTTCTAAGCTAAAAAGTTCCTGGAACATTCGGTGGAGCACTTTAAGAAATAGTTTAGATAGATGACACCGCCACTATTCAACATTATCAATCTCAGTGCTCCATGTTTGGCTAGTACTGACCCATCTGATGAGATGGAAATCCTAAGGGAACTCCAAGTACTCAAGCATCATAATTGCACTCGACTCAGACAACCTTTCCTTGGGTCTTTTAAAGATGATAGTGAGCTAACAGTCAGAGAACTGATTGGTTTATTTAGGAAAGTATGGGAAAGCAAGAATGTTCCATCAATGTGTCCATCTTTAAAGAGGGACCACGTAGTAATCGTGGTTGCGCCTAAAATATTGAATAGTGTCTTGCTCTGCGGTCCCACAGCAGAGGTTGTCTTTTAATAGATGTTGTCATTTTGGAACACTGGTTTTGGTGGGTTTACACAAGTACTAAGAATGTGATCCCAGTGGTTTCCTTACCCTTCACTCTTTGCTAGCCTTGGGAATAGGTGAAGAAAGTGGAGTGGCAGTTAGTCTATGATGGGCTGTGGGATGAAAAGTAGTTCTATTAGGTTGGTGTCTTTTGGTTCATCAAGACTCCCTGAGTGGGGTCTGAGAGCTAATTTTAATCAGTGGACTGAGGCGTTATTAGGCATGGCTGGGAATAGTAATCAGTGATGAACATACCGCACTGTCCTCCTTTCCCCTCTGTCTGAATGTGACATAAAGTGATGAACGCCCCGCTATTTCTGTTAATTAGTATTCCTAATTGTTACCGTTATGATCCGATTTTTCAATTCTTCTGCTTCATTCCCAGGGATTAAAACCTGATACCATTTAAAAAGTAGAAGTGCGAAAAGTCACTTACTATATAAAGGAAGTGATGTGTAATGATGTGCGATAAGGGCTGTCGCCCACCATGCACATGGTTCGGGGTTCGATCCCCGGCCGACGCACACCCGATATCTATGATCGGCCTACAAAATTTGGGCTACCGATACTTACTTACTTTACTTTACTTCGGCTATCTCCTACGGGAGGATGAGCCGGCTTCATGAACGTCTCGAATCATCGCTGCCCAGGCGCGGCAATTTGTAAGAGAGTTGATGAAGTTTCATGGGAATTTGGTACGAGTGATGTCCCCAGAATCGCTCGGCCTTTTGTTTGAGAGTGCAGCTCTAGCTTTACACAACCAAGTGTGACCTACAAGGCAGTAGGAGTGGAGTAAGGAGTCCACTATCCATTGGCAGCCGACGACCGGAGTTCGGTTCATACGCCTTTTTGAATGGGGCCAGACATCCAGGACATCCAACAAGCCCTTTGTCCATACGTCTGCCGGTGAGCTCCAGTGAGCTTCATACGCCAATCGTTGCAGGTTTGGAATCAGGGTTTAGCCATCTCCCCTAGACTGTCATCCAATGGACAGTCAACCCGGTGGAGAGCGCCAGGCATCCGCTACCGATATCACATGCTGAAAATTCCATACTTGTACCAAACATACTGTGTCGTTTCAAGTTACAATCAAAATAATAAAAAAACGAGATGTGTAAGACTGGCTTGCGTAAAGATTTCTTATTTCTTGTAAGGATGAATTATTTTTATCATTGAACTAAAATGACCCTGTTGTCTTAAGTATACCATTTCCAATGAATTTTTGAAATTAAACATCTTGGTTTCTACAACCATTTTCTACTTCTATGTTCACTGTGTCAATTAAAGCATTTCAGTTTTAATGTTACATCGTGTTTTGTTGTCTTCAATGGGCTTAGGACGAAAGAAATGATAGTCTATAAATTTAAGTATAGAAATGCTTTCACTAGATTTTGGTAAATGTATTCTTTTGCTTATATTGTGTTTTTAGAATTATCAACCAGAGGCTGATCATGATTTTTACCAGAACGATTGTTTCTCATCTAAAGTATCTAATCAGAGCAGTGATTATGTGTACAGAATGTATGCTAAATTAAATGAACTTCGTTGGTATGTCTCTTATGCTTCACCTTTTTTAAAATTTCGTTTTAAAAGATAGTTGTGTTTATATAGTATTGTCTTATAAATCTTGTTGACGTTAAGTAATCAAAGTAGGAGATACGTGCGTTGGGTATTGTGTCAGATTCATTCGGTTATATCATTCGAAATAATTTATACGTAAAATATATTTAATGGTTATTGATATAAGTATAAAACATGGGCACTGTGGTAAAGTATAACTCCATTGTGGATAAGATTTTATTTTGAAAAATCACACAGTGTTATAATACAGTAATATTAACTGATGACCATGTTTCGAGCACAAACTATTGCCATTCATAATCATATCAAGACACACACACAACTTTCTTGCTTCATTTATATATATGAATGGAATTCATCAGACATTTGAATAAGAATCAATATAGGATAATGTACATTCAGAAATAATAATATGAGTGTTATCGATAAAATACAATTAGATGGGAAATAAGACGAGTGTTTTTTATAGTCAAAATAAGCAACTTGTTAGAACGTTATAATGTACGTGAATTGAAATAGAATTTTAAGATTATTTATTATCCTCTTGTGATTTGACTAGTGGTAATATTATCTTCCATATCTCTGGTATTTGCAGTCAGTCATTTCTGTTGCATGTGTTAGGTGTAGCCTCGATGAACCAGGATGCAGCAAACAATCTCTCTCTCCACCTACCTATATTAATTTTTAGAATTCTGACTCTAGCCAACCCTATTGTGTGATTGTGTGTTAATGCATGCAGTGCAATCGCTGAGCATTTTTCTAAATTACTTATCTTCTTGGAGTCAACCATTCTTACCTTAGCTAAATTCTTATGTTCTGACAATCTGACTATCCCCGACCTACTAGTTTGACCTATGTAGTTGAACGCACAGAAATGACTGAATGCAAATACCAGAGATATGGAAGATAATATTACCACTAGTCAAATCACAGGAGGATAATAAATAATCTTAAAATTCTATTTCAATTCACGTACATTATAACGTTCTAACAAGTTGCTATTTTGACTATAAAAAACACTCGTCTTATTTCCCATCTAATTGTATTTTATCGATAACACTCATATTATTATTTCTGAATGTACATTATCCTATATTGATTCTTATTCAAATGTCTGATGAATTCCATTCATATATATAAATGAAGCAAGAAAGTTGTGTGTGTGTCTTGATATGATTATGAATGGCAATAGTTTGTGCTCGAAACACTGTATGATTTCTCAAAATCTCCAAGTATTGGTTTTGTAGGTTCTCGAACTGATGTCAGCTCATGGTGCAATCCTCCATGCAATTTCTCAAAATATTTAATAACTCGTCACCTAAAAGTCACACCCACTTTAGATCAGATTGTACCTATATAATGCTACTCATAAATAGATTTCACTTTACAAAGCATATTTTATCGAGTGTGCATTCTGATCTCTTTGTAAAACTTGTATGGTTTGCTTTCTTTTCAGTCAAGGCCTGTTTTGTGATGTGGTTTTACAAGCTGGTTCAACAAAAATACACGCTCATCGTAATGTGTTGGCAGCTAGTTCTCAGTATTTTCATGCAATGTTTACAAGCCCAATGACTGAATCCCGATCTCCTTGTGTACATTTTCATGGAATTGAAGGATCAGCGCTTACCCAGTTAATTAACTTCATTTACACCAATGGTATGTTCATGGTTTATGCACATTTTTAATATAAACGTTTGTATTATTTGGTCTTTCGACTGTGAATTCTACTGCATTAGACAGTAAGGTATGCTGTTGAAGCCCTGTATCCCCATTGGGACCTAAAAGAGCAATAATAACAATATAATAATAGGCAATAAGATACCGTTGCTGCTGTTTGGGGATAGTCAATTAGATACTGTGAACCCAAATTTCTTATTTGTTGTTACTCTGTAAACACACATACCAGCGATGATGGGGTAAACTAACATTTTTGCAGGAGTTAAACTAACTATTCTGACGTGTCGGCCCCAAGGTTTTCTGCTCGCTTCAGATCAGTTTAGTCAGAGGAAGTCTGTCCTCATGTGTACTGAATTAACACTTAAGTCTTGGGTCTGTAGGGATGTGAATTTCTTCACTAAATACAATCAGTTGAAAACTAGGTAGTGCTGAACACTTGTGTCAATCTAGTTTGGACGTATTTACTACTGGCTGATTCACATGAACCGTTGGATACCACTCACATCAATTTGACTGAAAACATGCTTTGTCAGTTTATGGAGAACGTACTTATATTCCCTAAAATATAACATTTAGATGGAACCGGATAAATTTTGTGAAACTCACTAGGATTACGAATGTAGTGTCTGGTCACACAGTATCTGTCAGGTATTGATACCTTTTTCCCGTTCCTGATGCTTTGATGATGCTTTCTTTTTACTTCGTTTTAGAAATTAGTGTGAATGAAGAAAATGTGCAAACCCTCTTACCAGCTGCAAATTTATTACAGCTTACAGCAGTTCGTGATATATGCTGTGAATTCTTGCAGTCTCAACTGCATCCTAGTAATTGTTTAGGTATTCAAAAGTTCGCTGATTTACATAACTGTCAAAATTTACTCGATTTTAGTCGGCGTTTCACGGAGCAACATTTCGGGTACGTTTCTTCCCAATAAATGATTTTTAGAAATATGCGTATCATTAAATTAGCTTATGTTTTAGTTTGTATCCTTCAATAGTATGGATAGCTGTCTCTTATTACACCCATAAACAGTGTTATTCGCATTAGCGGGATCATTCCTACAGCACAGTAACGTGTTAGGGATATACCCTGAGTTCAAAGGTTTTGTCAGATAAGACTTTCAAAGAGTGGGAATTTCCCCTTCATTTTCAGCATCTTCTAATTTTGTAAGAGAACTGAAGATTGCTTAATCGAAAAAGTCATCTTCAGGGACTATCCATTTAGTGGACATTTCCACAGCATCAAATTTCGCACTGTCTGCATCTTCGATGCCTATGAATCACTCCTATTGTCTCACAGATTATTCCGTGGTTTTTGTTTTAAATCACTTCAGAATTGCTATGTATATTATGTCGCACATCCAATTAGAGCCTTTGAGAATGACTTAGTCAAATAGGAAAATTTCCTTAACTGAATTGTCTTCTGTTTTTCTTTATGACTTAGTGTTATCTAAGAATTCTTCAAGTGAATGGATAGCAAGATCGTGTCACTGATTGTAATCGATAGTTTTTTGCAATATCACGAAAGATATATAACTTATCACTAGCTTTCTTCAAAGATCAGCTGTAATAGTTCATTAGAGTATTGGCGATCTCTGGACTTACTGCTCACAAATATTTATCTCGATTACACACTACAAGTATCTATTCCGTTTTCTCCCCAGTACATTTTCTTAGGAAAGGTGTAGCAATTTAGTTTACATTTATTGTATTAATAATGTTAAGGTGTGGTCGTTCATCTATTTAAAAAAATCTTTGTATTCATGTAAACTAATGATTTGTGAGAGGAAAATAATTAATCTAATGTCTTGTATTTGGATATATCGTATTTGTTACAGCTAACATTCTACTCGAGAAGCTTTTTTGTTCGTTGCTGTCTGAATATTAATTATCTTCATTTCTGTTTCAGTGAACTACTGGAACAAGATGATGAATTCTTGAAATTGGATTCAGATCAGCTTGTGGAATTAATTTCAAGCGACAGGTTAGCTGTTTCAGAAGACCAAGTTTTTGAAGCTGTTCTTCGATGGATTGCACATAATCCAAACGAGAGACAAATAGAAGCTCAAAAACTCTGCTCACATGTCCGATTCGCCTTTTTACCACGCGATTATTTAGCATGCCTAAGCCGGTCGGATGCTTTTTTAACCGCGAATCCTTGGTGTAAGGACTATTTGATTGAAGCACTTAGTTATCATTTATTACCATGGGACCGAAAACTACGGATGGCCTCTGAACGCACAAAGCCACGAATCCCAGATAGGTTACCAAAAGTACATATTTTGCTTCCAATGTTTACATGACTTTTGTTTTCCACAATGTTTACTTCATGGTTTTTTGCAGTATTGTATCGTATGTTTTATAGAAAAGATTGAAGTAATACGTCACTTTTTCGGGTAAATATTGTCTGTCTGTTTTCGACATAGAACTTTGCACATATGTGCGGAAGTTCAAGTCGCCACACTCCATGTACCACACAAAGCAAGAGAAGAAAGTGGAAGAAATGCATAATAGAGACAGTAAGCAGAGGTGTGAGACAAAGGAGGAGTAATAACGAAGAACGAAACAGTTTCATTGGAGGTCATAAGTCACAAAGAGTGGATGCATCTGCGCCACTGAGAACGATTTTGAGCCATGTCACCAATTGTTTCCAACCATAGATTTTTACCGTCCCGAGGACCCCAACCAGTAAGCCAGTCTACACCTTCCTACGTGGCTTAGACCAACTGTTGTGGATTTCATTGACTGGTGCAGCCAAGTTTTTGCTTGACCGCCGCTAGCTTTTTTTCCAGCCTGACCCTATATCCGCTAACATTGCTCGTCGAGGAAGGCGATGGCTTGGCATACGTAACACATGTCCTAACCATTTTAGTCGATAGAATTTCACGACTTTGTCGATTGATTTCCCCTGTTTACCTAGAACCGCACATTTGTGCAAAGTTCTATGTCGAAAACAGACAGACAGACAGAACTCTACGCCTAATTTCAATGTTGCTCACCTTATTATGCCACTTTACACGGGAAATAGAGCGCAGGCACCTATGATCAAAGACAGCTAGCTAGCCTTTTCATGTCTTCCACTCTGAGTGGCCAGGTCTCACAACCATACAGGAGGACGGAGCGGACTGATGAGCAGTACACCCGCCCTTTGGTCGATAGTCGAACATCTCGTCTACGCCAGAGTCGGCGTAAACTGGCAGATGCGAAACGAGCCCCCTGTATTCGTGCTGAGATTTCGTCAGAGATCAACCCGTTGGGGCTGATGGTACTTCCCAAATAAGTGAAGCGGTCAACGTGCTCTACCACTTCACTTCCTATTTTTAAACTAGGCGTCGATGTTGTCCAGTCCTGTAACATCATCTTGCATTTGGCGGGAGCGAATCGCATGCCAAACATTCGTAGATTGCTGTTCAAGGTGTTTAGAAGACTCTGCATTTCGTCAGCGTCTTCGCCTAGAAGGACTATATCGTCTGCATATTCCAAGTCAACGAGATTATTCCCCGGTAGCAAGTCAATCCCTGAGTCGCTGAAGTCACCTAGGGTTAAGTCCATTAACACATCTATGATGAAGTTGAACAGAAAAGGGGATAATGGGCATCCTTGACGGACACCACTAGTCGTCACCAGTTCAGATGACAGCTCGCCGTAAGCCCTCACCTGGCTGTATGAGTACGAGTAGAGTGCCTTAATCAGTACAATATATTTTCTCGGGATTCCCTTTACAGCCAAGCATCTCCAGAGAACTTCTCGATCGACAGAGTCGAATGCTGCATTTAGGTCAAAAAATATAATGACTGTTGGACGCCGGTAGGAATGCCTATGTTCTACAGTCTGTCAAAGGGTGAAAATATGATCAATACACCCTCTTCCTGGTCTAAAGCACGCCGCCTGGCTCTCTCGTGTTTGTGCCTCCCGAGCACCACTCAGTCTACGCATGATTATTGAGCCTAAGACTTTAGATACTATATTAGTCAAGTTAATCCCTCTGTGATTATCACAGGAAGACTTGTCTCCCTTCTTGTATATCGGGATAATCAGTGACTTACACCAACCCGATGGGACTTCTTCTGATTCCCAGACGCTGCCTAGTACCCCAGTTAATCTACAAACTAGTATGTCACCCCCATATTTAAACACCGGAATAATTCCGTCGGGTCCTAGTACCTCGCTGAAGGGCCAATATGCACATACGATTAAAGTAGAGCCTGGATAGCGAGCATCTGTATTGTAGCTCCAGACCAGTTAAGTTGTTTCCCAAGCTGTACCTTCTGAGAGTTCATTAAAGTTCCATCCTTCTTCAGAATCATTTCACTTAACATAGGTTTTTTATAACCTGTTTCCCAGATGAGCTTAAAGAGTTAATAAATATTGCCTACTGTTGAGGCGTTTTCCATTTATTTCTCTTAGCCTTTCATAATTGCCCCTAGTAGTTTCAAAAACTAAGTAGCTTTTTGCTCTTCCTCATGTTTGAAGCCCGTTGATGTTAATCTTTTGAGATCTATCACTTTAGTTCTCTCCTCTATAAATTTAGACTTCGTGTCCCCGTAAAAAGTTCAGCACGTAATGTGCACAGTTATTACTTTCTGGTCGCTCACATACTACTACTAAGAACTTGATACTAAATGATACTTACGATACAGTGTGGGATTCTCAGCACTGCAGCCAAGAATGGCACCTAATCTTCTCCCTACATTGTGTACTAAGGGAAGAAATATTCACATAACTTTTTTACTGACATTTATAGTTATAATAATGTCAGTAATATGTAAATGTAACAATAAATTGTAAATTAATAGAAGTGACAGCAATATATTAATGATAAGAATAAACAGAGCCGTTTGTTTCACGCCTAACACTTTCTTAACAAAGAGAGAACGAATATTTTGAAAGATGAAAAGGGTTCGGTTTTTTATTTCGCCGTCTTTCATCAGTTGCTAACAGCTTCAAAATGACATAAGTTATTATAAATACTACTTCGCTTCGTAGAAGTCATTGCTGTCAACCTGATCGGTGGCACAGTGGCTAGTACTCTCGCCGACCATGCACATCGTCCGAGGTTCAATCCCCTGCCGACGCACACCTGATATCTATGGTCGGCCTGCAAAATTTGGGCTACCGATATCACATGCTGAAAATTCAATACCTGTACGAAAAATACAGTATGGAATCAAAAAAAAAATCCACCTCATTTTTTATGGGCGTCGGTGGCACAGTGGTTAGGACTCTCGCCGACCATCCACATGGTCCGGGGTTCGAGCCCACGCCGACGCACACCTGATATCTATGGTCGGCCTGCGAAATTTGGGCTACCGATATCCATGCTGAAAATTCCATACTTGTACCAAAAATACAGTGTGGAATCAAGCTGTAAATCAAAAATCAAAAAAAAAAAAATCTCCGTAGACAAAGTGATAGGGTGAGTAGTCTCTCACTATTCTGGTAACTAGAGGTTTCTACTCTGTTTCTGTGTTTTGTTCAGTCACAGTTGTTCAAGACTGATCATAATCTGTGACAAAGGTTCGCAAAAGTCAGTGAATTTATGTGATTCATCTCCGTACTAACGAAAGCAATCAGAATAATTCGCATAACAAATGCTGGGTAATATCCACCGACTCCTAGGACTCATTAAGGTAGCAGGTAAATCTGCTAGTCTCCAAAGATTGTAGTAATTATGAAAATACAAAGACGTTTGCAGAAACAGTTAGTGAACTTAAACCCAGGTGTACTGTTTCAATCATTTTGCATAATCATTATATTGTGTTATATGTAATTCACCATTTTAACACTTAACTACATCTTGTTTTTCTCGTCTAGTGAAAGCTTTTCTATTTGTTCTTACTCTGTTTAGATTCTACTTGTTGTAGGTGGACAATCACCCAAAGCCATCCGATCTATTGAATGTTTCGAGTTTCAGGAAGGTTCTTTGAACTCTCTACAGACGAGTAATCGTTCTGATCCAGTTGTAGGTAGTCCATCTACTTCATCTCATTCTGTTTCAATGGAATCCATGAGTCTAGCAGTTCGCAGTGTTAATTTCAATGATAGTGGTTCAAATTCTGATGCAACAATTATATCAGACCTTCCAAGTAGGCGCTGTCGCGCTGGCGTGGCTGTTGTAGATGGTTTAATTTATGTTATCGGTGGATTTAATGGTACCTTGCGTGTACGTTCTGTCGAAGTTTTTGACCGTATACGCAACACATGGCATTCTGGTCCAAATATGGAATTTAGACGAGCAACCTTAGGTGTTGCTGTTTTAAATGGCTTGATTTATGCAGTAGGCGGTTTTGATGGGATTGTCGGTAAGTTTTTTTTTTTTGTTAAGTATCAGTTGTCCATATTATTTATTTGTTTCAGGTCTACAAAACCTAATCTTTGTAAAGTACTCGTTTGTATTTCTTATCTTACAAACAATATTCTTCATATTTGAGTAGGAAATATCTAGAATGGCTCTCAGAATATTTTTACACGTTGCTCAAAACCTTCATGTTATCGAATCAATAAATTTGAGTATATTGTGACAAGGAATATTAGCAATTAGTGCTGCTACTTCAGTGTTCTGAATTCTGATTTCATTATTTGTACTCTTTATGTACATTCAGATTCTAGTTTTAGTTCAGTTCACTTCATTCATACTTCAGGAGTGATATCTCTGAATTTCCTGGAATGAATCAGTACGACAGTCTTGTTCGGCTTTTCATAAAGATGCGTCATGCAGTAGGTAAAGAGCGGAAATCAATAGACGAGGCTGTGAAGCTACATCGACTGAGATGGTTAGGACAAGTGTTACGTATGCCTAGCAATCGCCTTCGTCGACGGGCAATGGTAGCTGATATAGGGTCAGGTTGGAAAAGAGCCAGTGTTAGTCAAACCAAAACATGGCCTCATCGCTTAATGAAATCCGAAACAATTAGTTTAGGCCACGTAGGAAGGTGTAGACTTACTGCGACACCAATGACTGGGGACAGTTGGGGATACGGCTCAAAATCGTTCTCAATGGCTGGTGCAGATGCATTCACTCCTTGTGACTTATAATACCCAATGAAACTATATTGTTGTTCGTTATTACTATTCCCTTTGTCTCATATCCCCGTTTACTGTCTCTGTTTTGTATTTCTTCTAGTTTTTTCTCTTGCTTTGTATGCCACATGGAGTGTGGCGATTCGAACTGCTGCACATCAGTGCAAAGTTCTATGTTGAAACCAGTCGGTCATGCAGTAGCCTTATTTTTAGATAGTGTAGTCTATTACCGCTATTTTGTCTTTGTATGTTTATGTTTTCTTGCATATAAATTCAATGTACTATTCTGCTTCTAATATTATTATAGCATGAATTAATACAGCTAGCAACCGTCTCTGCTATTTATATTTATATTTCCGATTAGGTTTCGATTTTTATTTTGTGAGATTTTAAAATAATAGTCTCCATATTGCCTAAAACGAATTCCGATTTTGGCAGGTCTTAATTCTGCCGAAGTTTTGGATGTATGGTCAGGTAGCTGGCGATCTATCCCATCTATGGCATGTCAGAGGTCTTCAGTAGGCGTAGGTGCTGTGGACGGTAAACTATATGCTGTTGGTGGGTTTGATGGAACAGTACGTCGTTGTCTTTCAACTGTGGAATGTTATGATCCAACTACTAATGCTTGGTGTATGGTATCCGAAATGGCATTCAGGTAATTTTTCAGTGTCGTCTTTATGATAATTTACCAGATTTTTGACATGTAGAGTTGCTCATGTATTCTTAGAAATTCTTTTTTGTCCATAGGCTTAGTGTATTTAGGGGAAAGATATTCATCGGAGCATTGCAACTCAAAGAGCACCTAGTTCAGGGAAGTCTCTTTTCGGCGATTCCGTTTGCAATGCTGCTGTACAATCTCATTTTTACATTAGTTTGTTTTAGATACATTGTCATTATTACTGTTTATCTAAATTAAAAGGTTACTTGTTAATAGCGGAGATTAATCAAAAGCTAACAGAAGACGTACTGAAACTAACAAGTGTGCACCAGTGGTCACGTAATAATGAGGAATCATACGTTGAAGGAGCTCTTTTTATTAATATATATACATCTCCATCCACGAGGACCACTCACGAATCTTTGTGTTAACGTGTAATTATTAGATTATTAACTAAATCAATTGATGTCATAATAGGTAAGTTTATTTAAATATCACACAGCGATATAGAGTGATGTCTCTGTATGATATTAAAATAAACTTATCCCAAAGGGAGTTGTGCGTTGGTGGCACAGAGGTAGAGTGCTCGCCGACCACGCAGGTGGTCCGGGGTTCGAGCCCGACTGACGCACTCCTTTACCTCGCTAAGCCATTGACATGACTGGTAAAGAGGAAAGGTTGGACGTGAGGCTAGCAACTCCATCCTGTGAACACTAATCGCCACTGCCACCGAAACTTCAGGCCTCTAGCTTGAAGCCGTATGTACCACTGGGAACGTAAAGGAATAAAAAATGTGGAATTACATTCTACCACAATACCAAGTCCTACACTTACATTAAATAAATAAATTATCAAATCTTCAAAGAACTGAGAAACAAAGAAAGAAGCTCCAATCTCAGTAAAAGTATGAGAAGAAAGGTGAATTTATGTCACATGCGAGTAGAAGAAAACAAAATGGAGTTTAATAATTAGGAAGGGTATTCGATAATTTTATTTTATTATTTTATTTTTGATTACAGCTTGATTCCACATTGTATTTTTGGTACAAGTATGAAATTTTCAGGTTTCTTGAGACTAAGTGTCCACTTTTTAGAATTTAATCAGTCACAGTGTAACGACGGAAGACAAGGACCAGGCAACAGATTGTTTATTGAGAAAATCAACAGATATTTATAGATTTTTATTTACATTATTATTAGCGTTATTGTTAGCAGAGGAGCATCCTCTTCTGATTGGTCGTTTTCTTTCTGAAGGTTATTTTTTTATCCCTTTGTGGCTATTTCTGACAAAATCAACTCATATATCTGTGATTCGTATTCACACACGTTAATGCTGCTGTGATTGGTTGGTGAGTTCCTCAAGGTTAAGCTTTGTTGTTTTTTCTCATGACCCCGATTGGGGACGTAAACATTGACGTGAGATGTTGTCTACTATTTTATCTTGTTGATAGCTCTCACCACAATAGCACTTCTTATCTATCTACTGTTTAAACTTTTCAAGTGAATGAGACAGTGTTTTGATAATACTCATCTTTTTCCTCACATATGTTTATATGTGTATGTGTATGCATCAGTTGTTTAGGTGTTGAATTAGGGTACATATTTTGAAATTTCACTACATAGATTATAGCTGCAAAAATTTCTCATGAATCTGTAGATATCAGGATAGAGATTATAGACTATGCGTAATAGTAAATGCCTATCCCATTAAAACAACTCCGACGAGACCACTTAAAATGATATTTTTTGTAACGCTTATTTACGCGTTAGTAATAACATCATTGGTAGATGTATCTTTCCAGCTTTTATCTTGAAGTTTTGTATAGCTCTATTCTTTTTTTTTGAATGAATTACACTAGACGAAGTGGGCCTGCAGTTTGTGCGCTGAATAACCGTCTTTATGCTGTTGGTGGTCACGATGGTCCAGTAGTACAAGTTTCGGCTGAAGTTTATTCTCCTGAAACAGGAGTCTGGCAGCGTATAGCTGATCTGAATGTTAAACGTAGAAATGCAGGTAAATTCAAAGCTTGTTTTTTAAACATGTAATAAGGTGGCAAATCGATAGTACTTTTTTCCTTGATTGAAGAAAACCAATTGATTCTCATTTGTTTCATGATTTATAACAATATAGTACATAGTACATATAGTATATAGTACATAGTATATACAGAGAAGTTGATTTGTTCTCCTACTTATTGTGTTGTGTTAGTCTAACTTCACTGGCTTATAAATCTCAAGGTGAATTATAATAATGTATTCGGATAGAATTTCTAAAGGTATAGTAATTATCAATAGTGTAAAACTGAGTATAATTAGTTCAGTAATTGACGCATATCCATATAATATGTTGTTCAGCTCAGCTGAAGAGTTTTACTACTAAAACTTATTGTCGATTATAAAGACAAAACTTTCTTCACTCTTTCTCATAAAGTTTTTAACTCTTCTATTGACCTTTATTTAAACCATTCATTCTCTTGTCATACTCATAATTTTTTGTTGCTCTGTATTTCTGCTTAGTGTGTACTTTATAGTATGGTAATCTGAATTAATGAACGTTTGCTGAAAACATTGTTTGCATTCGAACAGATTCAATTGTGGTGTTTTTCCTTGTTAAAAGGTAATAGCACCTTTACTTCGGCTAGTGCAGCAAACATTGTTCGCTTTGTTAATTATATGAGGACATAACCAATAGAATTTTGTTGTTATAAAAAAGGATTCATATTAAGTATGCATATACACTTACTTAACAGTATTTGAGTTCTAGTCAACATAGAACCGGTTATTTGTTCAACAACAAATAATATTACTGCGCTTTTATGGTTTTTTTTATAGCGATTGCTAATCATACTCACCAATAAACCGCTACATTTTCTGTCATAAATTCAGAATGTCTATGATAATCAAATTAATTCAGAGAATTATTGGAATTAGATGAAATCTTAAGCGTGTTCTGGATTGACGGACTAATATTTCATCAACTTAGTCGTTGCACAACTTTCCTGTTAAACAGGTCTCTATTTCACCTCACTAACGAAGTGTTCTGCTTGAATATGTGGATGGGAAACATCCTCTTGTATTTCATCGTACCACTTATTCGACCGGTTGCTTTCAATCCACGCGTTGTTGACGAGAATCATACATTAATTAGTTAAAAATCGAAGAGTGAAAGCAGACAGAATTTAATACTTTAAAGTAATTAGTTCTCTTTATGAATTTAGATAAAGCAATAAGAAGACGTAATTTGTCTGAATCGTGTAATGTAAATGAGTAACACATTTCGAACAATCTGATCACACACGGACTTGTCATATGAAATTAATAAAGACTTAAGAGGTGAGAAAAATAGACTTAGGTCAAGTTAAAAGGACATATTGAAGGTCGAAATAACAATGAAGACCACTAAACCAAATAACAGAGGTAATAGTACATCTGCTATGGTATCAAAGCAAAATTTACCAAGGAAGTTTTAATGTGATGACGAATTATTTGAATGCATAAAGGTGGTTTAAACTTTGTAATTGCTAGGGCTTCCACAAACGTTAGGATACGCCCCAAACACGTTTTATAGGTAGGTTAAGAAGATGTGTTAACGTCAATTTTATGTCCTGTCTTTATAATATGTTTCGCAATGGAGGAGCTAGGTCTCCTGTTCTCACCATTAATGGGTTCTGAAGATTCTGTTTGTTTATGGGGCCATTAAGGAATATGCTCTGAAGCCCTTACTTGCAGAGATCGATGAGTCCTCCCTATATATGTGTGCCTACACCTACATTCAAATTGGTAAATACAGTGGGGTGTGACATTATTTTTCGCATGTTCAAAGGGCTTAGATAGATATATTGGCTTCACATTCTCAGTTATTATGATATTAATTGCATAAAAAGTCTTTTTAACAGCAGCGTTTAATCTTTGTCTAGTTATCAAGCTGCTATGATGCCCCATATAGGGTAGCTTGATGTACTCGTCTTTCTTAGGGGTGAGTTGTAGAGTGGGTCTTGGTGTTCTGACTACTTAATATCTCCTGATGAACTTGTCTGGAAAATTTTTATCAACCAGAGTTTGTGTCAACTTTCTTTCTTCCTCATCAAGTGTATCTTCAGTGCATATTCGTTGGATTCTACTGAAGAGGCACCTTACTAAGGCTCTTTTGTACCGAACAGGGCAGAAACTGTGGTAATTAAGATACTGTCCTGTCCAGGTAGGTTTTCTATAAATAGATCTTTTTATTGACCCATCAAGCCGTCGACTAAGCAGTATGTCTAGGAAAGACAAACAATTATCTTCCTCTTCTACAGATGTAAGTGATATGCTATTCTGAACTTCATTCGTTCGATTTAAAATTCAGGTGGCAGAACAACTTATCACTTATGATTACAATATCATATACATGCCTTCTATAAAGTGGCACATTTTCGATTAAATCCTCGGATAAATTCTGAATGTAATACTTATAGATATCTGCTAAAAGGGGCCCTAACGGACTTCCCATAGCAACACCATCAACTTGGCGGAAACAATCGCCTTCAAATGTAAACCTAACATTGTTAGTACATAGAAGTAATAAATCCCTTAAATAAGATATAGGGAACGAGATGAAAAAATTGTTTGTGGAAATGCGACCACACAAAAGGTCAACTGTTTTGAGCAAAGGCACATTAGGGAATAACGAGTTTACATCAAAAGAATACTTATCTTTATTCATAGTATTAATATCGTCAAGAAAATCAATCGATTCAAACGTATCTTTTAACACATACTTACAGAATTGTGTTTTGACTGGATGCAATAATTCTACTAACCATAGACGAGATGTTCGACTATCGACCAAAGGGCAGGTGTACTGCTCATCAGTCCTCTCCGTCCTCCTTTATGGTTGTGAGACCTGGCCACTGAGAGTGGAAGACATGAAAAGACTAGCTGTCTTTGATCATAGGTGCCTGCGTTCTATTTCCCGTGTAAAGTGGCATAATAAGGTGAGCAACATGGAGGTTAGGCGTAGAGTTCTAGGTAAACAGGGGAAATCAATCGACGAAGTCGTGAAGCCACAAAGACTGAGATGGTTAGGACATGTGTTACGTATGCCAAGCCATCGCCTCCCTTGACGAGCTATGTTAGCGGATATAGGGTCAGGCTGGAAAAAAGCTAGCGGCGGTCAAACAAAAACTTGGCTGCACCAGTCAATGAAATCCACAACAGTTGGTCTAAGCCACGTAGGAAGGTGTAGACTGGCTTACTGGTTGGGGTCCTCGGGACGGTAAAAATCTATGGTTGGAAACAATTGGTGACATGGCTCAAAACCGTTCTCAGTGGCGCAGATGCATCCACTCCCTGTGACTTATGATCTTCAATGAAACTGTTTTGTATTTCTTTAATACTCCTTTGTCTCACACCTCTGCTCACTGTTTCTATTATGCTTTTCTTGTACTTTCTTCTCTTGCTTCGCGTGCTACACGGAATGTGGCGACTTGAACTTCCGCACATTTGTGCAAAGTTCTATGTCGAAAACAGACAGAGAGACAGACTAACCATTTAGCAAGTTTATGCGCTGGGGATTTGCACATTGACAATACAGAACGTAGAGAATTATTAGGTTTATGTATTTTTGGCAGACTGTACATATGCGGGAATTTACATTCTGATGGTTTTAAAGAGTCATATTTATACAATTGGTGGATGGTGACTAGCAGTGGAATCCAGGATGCGCATTTCGTCCTATTTGGGACTCGTCATCTGGATGTACCTGCATTTCTCAGTGAGTGATGATGTTTCCACTGAGGCTCGAACCCAGTGCCCATAGTTTCAAACGCCAAAGTGTTATCCACTAGACCACTTGGGCCACGAGAGCCACCTCTTGTGCAACGGGTCATATTAATTATTCAATTGAATTAAATGGCCAGACATCGTCGAGGCATCTGCACAAGAAGCCGACATGTCAACCTGAGACCGAGCACTTTGGTCCAATCAATCGACGGGAAAATCAAAAATTCAATTCAATAAGTCATATTTATCTTTATTTATAGCATGTAGGCCATGAGGCTTCACTAGATTACCTGTCACTGTGCCCTGCAACAACTGAATATCTTATGAGGAGGGATCATGGCTAAATTTGCTTTTATCATCAAGAATAGACATCATTTTAGATTTGTAGTCACTTTTATTCATAATGACGACTCCAGAACCTTTATCAGGTTTTGTAATAATTATATTAGAGTTTTCCCGTAGCTCTTTCAAGGCTTTGAAATGCTAGGAATTTCAAATACTTTTCTCCTTTGGGTTGTTGTTTAAAAACTGGTGAGCTATATCCACCAACCCCGATCTTCATCGGATGTTTACGGCAAGAGGTTTGGGTTGACCATATAAGTTTTCAAACTCTGCATGGATGGGTAAATCCGTAAATTGCGTGCGAGGAACACAAAATTTAAATCCAAGGGATAAAGCTTCTTTCTGATGAGTAGATAGAGTAATATCAGAAAGATTTGTAACATATTTATCAGGACTCACCGGAAAAAGATCTACGTGGTTTCGATCATCATTTGAGCTCTTCAACTTATTTTGTTTATTTGTCTTTGCTTTCTGAGTAACATCTTTACAAAACTGGAGGAATTTCACGTGGCATATTATCGATAATTCAGATAAAATAAGTGACGCATCGGTGTGAAGAACAAGCAGTCCTTGTAACGTTTGTCTAACATTTTCGATATGTGACTTTGTAGGACGAACAAGATCAGAGATATTTGGTTGTAATTTACTAAATTTCAAAGTTTTATAAGATTGCTTCGGGAAGGAATGATTTTTAATATATAATTCATAAAATTCCAACGTGTCACGTTCGACGATAATTTTACACAAATACATTACACGATTCAGACAAAGTACGTCTTCTTATCAGAATTTAATGCGTTTACTATTGTTACTTTTTTGTGATAAATACATCAAATTTTATTTCTCTCAAGGATTGGTTGCACACGATGGATTTCTTTACGTGATTGGTGGTGAAGATGGCGAAACTGATTTAACCAGTATAGAAAAGTACGACCCTGCTACAAATACATGGGCTTTACTTCCAACTAACCTTAGAATCGGTCGAAGTTACGCTGGTGTTATTATCATGGAACGTAATGCTATCTAAGGTATCATTATTCTCCTGAATGTATGACAATGTTCAGTCTTTTCATAATTATTTTCAGTTATTGTTTTTGTGAATCTTGGTCTTTATTTTCTTACTTTCATCTTATTTTTAAGCTGAATACTGTAAGAAATTTCGTTTACTATTTGTTTCAAACTACCCTTAATTTCATTATCAGTATTCATCATGCAGTTGGTTCTGCCATAGTTGTTATTCTTTTTTCGTACTACAACAATGTGTGAAGATGTAGTTTATAGTTCGAATGTGATTAATTATGAATTATTTATCCGAGTAGAACACTGGAAAATCTGCTTATTTTTGTTTGTATGTATAATCTTTCTACTGGTCTGTGTGTGTAAGTATGTATGTATGTATGTATGCATGAAAAGTTAATAAACCATTTTGATTTATATTTTCACGTTATTGTACTTTGTTCTAAGTTAAGCGGGTAATGGTATAAATTTAGGCTTCACATACGCATATGTGTATCACGTGGTTGTAGCTCTTGTCTTCAACTGTTCTCCTACTGCATTAACGTATATATTTTACGTCAAAGGTTATAGTGTGGTCTCATTTGCGAACCAATCTTGTGAAATATAGTTCTCATGGTTGTCTGTCTACGTGAATTCAACATAAAATTTCATTTCCGATCTCGTTTTTCATCATTTTTCATGGAATACGAAATGAGTTCAATGTAATGCCGTTGCTAATTTCCGTCTTACGCCCTACTCATCTGTATATGGAAGATAAAGTCTTCTGTGTGTAAATAAGCGTCTAATGTGTACAGTGTGTTCTGTGCCTGCTCACTACATTCATTCAGTTCAAATTGTTACAGTACTTACATCATCTTCTTGTACAAAATTGTACGAACCAGTTTTCTATTTGATCGAATGCCTGATTTTTAGAATTGTATGGATTTATTCGTTCATATACGCAAACAGAAATAAAAATGGAATTGTTTCCAACTGTTATTACAGTCTATATTTCGTATTGTCCAACAAATATATTGAACATTCGATCATTGGGAATAAAAAGACAGTTGCAGTGAAGGAAATTTTCTTTTTGACGAAGTCAACAACTAGACTGTACATTCGTGTATTTATAATAAATGGGTAGGAAAGTTCCAGAATAATTTCCGGTTAAGGGTCAGATTACATGTATACGTACTTACTTATTGACTAACACCAGTAGGGTGCAGCTGGTCGGGTGTGAGGACAAATACTCGCCGAAGACATTGGCTAGCGGTCGCGCTATGTCGTGAATTGGCAGAAGTTAGAATTCAAGGACCATTGAATCGGGTCCCAGTGGCTTAATGGTATACGAGCTCGCCTTGTAACCGGAAGGTCCTGGGTTCGAATCCCGGTGGGTGCGTACTGCTGAAGAGTCCCAAACTAGGACGAAACAGCTGTCCAGTACTCCCAGGTTTTCCAATGGTTCTCTAACTAATGTCAGCTCATGATGAAATCCTGTAACATTTTAAAGTTACGAGTTGATCACAGATTGAATTCAGTTATCAAAATTATCAATAATCAATCTGTAGTTAAAACAAATACCATATTTTTTGGCTAAAAAAGTGGGATGCATGGTTGATTTGCTTTGCTAAAACAATGTCTGTTAGGTATCATTCACAATGAACTGTAGAGGTTATCTAGATGCACCAGATGGCTGTTTTAGACCACCTATTTGGATATCGTTTTTTGATCAAGGCCTACGACGTGGCTATTTAATTTATCACTTTTTATATGTTCACATCGAATAGAAGGTGATAAGAAGGAAGTGGAAAATGAAAATCATGCAACCGTCACAGGTCATATTACAAGTAGTGCTAAGGCGAATGGGAAAACGTATGAAGATTAGTTTGCGAATGAAGTACGTGGGTTTGTAATTGGTTCTAAGTCTTATTATCTTGAATATTTAACCATGGGTTCACGCATTCCGGCTAATTGCACTCCATAACGTAATTCATATTAGCAGTGAAAAGCTTCGTAAACTGGTAATTCTTTGTTTTTGGGCAGAAAGTGGCGATACAAACGTAATACATTACCCAACCCTATGAATTAGCCTTTTATTTTATTGAATATCTGTCTAGGCGATACTTCAAAGAAACATAGGAGTAATATTAGCCAGATCATGAGAGCCTGTTGAGGTCTTGCAGGCCAAGAGACGGCGTTTCGCATTAACCTGCTAAAACAGCACCTCGACGTCTTCTTGTTAGCCTGTTATGATAATTGTATAGTCAGAAAATGCTTCATTGTTAAAACAGTGGAGCACCTTTTTAATTGGCCGTTTGAATAATTAAATTCATAAGTGACCTGTAAAGGTCGCATAAAATTTGGTAGAAGCTGAATGGTTACGCTCTTTCTCTTCGTATCCTGTTGGTTATGGTTTGTTAGTGCATTTCGCTGAAGAGTTTCTAGACAGGGCAACTCAGATTTCTGAAGATAGAAATATACGTTTTGCTTAAATTTGAATAGATTAAGCCTTTCTTTTTTTCATCGAAATGTAGTAGTCATTCGTCGTGCCTCGAATAGTGAAGAATACTTTCATTATTTGTTCGCTTTCTGTGATGGTACGGCGGTATTTAATTTTAAAATTATTATCTCCAGTTAATCTTCGCTATCTGTTATTTGGTTCGCATTTTCGTAGGCCATTAGTTGGAATACTTTACGATCTATGTTTGTAGTTCAGCTAAGAGTGTCTTTTCGGCGAATTCATTTTCTTAACTGTACAAGGATCGCATTAGCTCTGAGAAGAACATTCTTTGCAGCAACGCTAAGAATAGTGTTCTCCAGTCGCCCGCAAGACAAGATCCCGCCTCTGACCACTAGTATGTACGTGTATCAGTTCACCTGCTGCTCTGGAGCCAGCAGTTTGACGCGCATCCTGTCCGAGAGGATTCAAGCATAGTTGCGAAAAGGCAATAGTAGTGCTATAAGGATTGCGACAATTGAACATCTGGTTAACACTGGTCATTCCATCTCAACAAACGCCTTCTTCAAAGTAATCTACGGAGTCAAGAATAACCTACCAAAGGCGATACGGTTTCATCTTCTTTGTATTGCTGAAGCTGTAGCCATTCACATAGAAAAACTGGAGGTATGCATACAAAAAAGTATCACTCAACCACTTCGACTATCATGATAACAACTTAGTTGATTTTCGATGGCTTAATTTTGTTCGTTCGCTTGTTTCTGTAATTGCGTATAATTCCTGTATTCATTTAGAACTCTTACGTAATTTCATATTCCCTACTTTGTTTCTGTATGCATACTTAACTACAGTTCAATCATCATAGTATTCATATTATTACGTAACTCCCTTTTAACAACTGATTGTGACAACTCATCACCTTTGTTACTACCCTAGTTTGGATTAACACTCAATTTTCTTGAACTTTTTTGTATTACGGAACTCCACCCAAAACCTACTAATTTTTACGTGTTTAGTTAAAATAACCATAACCAATTGTATTTTTGTTTGACAAACTTGATGTATACATACATACAAAACAGACTTTTATCAAACAATTCAGTTTGTCATTTAATAATGAATTTGTCCTACATATGTGTATAATGTGTTAAATGCTAGACGTTGTAATAACTTTTTTGATTCACTTTACATTAGCTTTGGATGCATTTTATAGGCTCAGTTGGAAATACAAGGCTGTACATGCAAGATGAATTTTAAACACTTGAATTAACTCAAATCCATTATTCCATCGACTGGCGATACACTCTGTTTATCATTGTCTGGTAAACTTCACTATTGCTCACCTGTTTTTATCACCGTGCCTTATCCAAAGTTGCTTATCTGTCAATTGTTTAGATCTGCATAATTCAATGAAGTGATATCTTCAAAAAAAATTGGCTGTAACAAAGACTGCTTTAAACATACCTAAAGCAGTTCTTAACAAGAGTATTTATAATAAACAGGCTTAACTTTCATCATCATTACTCCTTGTCCCAAAGTCATGATATTTGATAACTAAATCTGTTTAAGTAGGTTGAAATCAAAGCAGTATATATATATATATATATATATATATGGAGATACAGGCAACACGTCAGTTTGTCTTCAGGTGAAACATTTGTAGCCACTGCAAAAATTTACAAAGAATCAAAATCTGACGGATTTCAAATTTAATATCAGTGGTGGGTAGTTAATAAATGATGTTCCATGGAATGAATTCAGCTGATACACTTGCATATGTAGCATGGCGACAAAAGTTTTCTTACTCATCTTACATAACGTGAATTTTAAAATATATCTGTTCACTGGTGTATACCTGAAAGGCGCAAACCGAAAGCAGAACCGCAACTGCAGGTTTTTCATTTATTTCTTTTAGTAATACGTAACCTACTGAAAGAGGATTTTCAGAAAACAGCTTGAAGAAAGCTACTAGATCTACGTACTATTATTTATCTTACAGTGTGATTATGTACTGGTTAAGCCTCTAATTTATGCACTCATAATCAGTAAAGTGATAACATTGCGCTAATAACAAGACTTAGTCTATCTTTAATTGCCTCCATATCAGCCAAGTCCACCAGAAAAAAACAAGCACGTGAGTTTATTTGTTTTTTTCTCCATAACATCGTACACGATAACAATAATAATGATTTTGTGTAAAAGAATAAGTATGGTTTATAGTTCATTGTGTTATGATAGTATAAATAAATATCATGATTGATCTTCATCCGTTCGCTTGTCAGGGTTCCAATTCTCAGGAGTGTTCTTTATTTTGTCCATTTCTTGGCGTAACTGTCGCATTTGGTTTTTCATCTCTTGATTCTTTGTTGTGATCTGACATTTTCAATAATAACAGTAGTAATGATATGAATATTAATAAATAATAAAAGTAGCTCATCGAAATCTAAAATTATCAGTTCCATAAAAGCAGCCATCATGTTCATGTTTGTTAGTCTTAGATATCTCAAGGATACAACGATCTGGACAGACTTTAGGGAGTGTTCTTCGGACTCCTGTCATACCATAAAGGTCTGTTGTAACATATGAATGGAGGGAGTGTTGGAGAAGCGTATTATGCCGATCGAGACACTTTAGTGGGACTCATTTACCTGTGTTGTCTGGAGTGGCGTTTGTTAGGTTAGCTGATAGAGATTTAACTGAATTCAGCACCTGAGCAATTGACTGATAACGTGACAGTCGGCTCCAAACATGCAGACTATACACTTTTGTTAAGGGGAAAACATTGACAAAATCTCCAAAATACCAGGGACAGAAATGGCATGTAGTCTACTCAAAATTAAATGTAAGACAATGGTAAATTGCTGGTCTATACCGCCTAATGTTTTCAACAGTATCGATTATTTCGGTATTCATATCAGTCATAATGGACCGGGTATTAACAAAATCTGTGTGCTGTTTTGAGTTGTCACACATGTGTTGTTTAAAGGTTTACGATGATTCTGAAGTTAGTCAGTCAGTCAGTCAGTTAAAATGTTGCTGAAGGCTATGCTTCAAATCATATTCTTAACCTTAAGGATTCTGGGTTTTCGAATAAACTAATGAACAACAAACACTATTAATCTCACATTTCGCTTTAGGAGTTGCACGTACGGAATTATAATTTTGGTGACCGTGTACAGTATAAGTGTATGTGTATAGACGAGTGTTATTTGGTCAGCAGAATATGAAGACCTATTTAAATAGTTTGATGGTGATCACTTGCTTCAAAGATGGATTTTTTATAAGACAAAACTACAAACACTTGTTCAACCTTCTACTGAATTTATGTAATTTTCAGTAGTCAGACACTAAAAGTGTTTTCGATTTTGAACAACCTGCATTATTTAATAAAACTTACCTCTTCATAACTTTTTCTTAGATTATCATACTCATGCATTAATTTAGTGGTTCCCTGTTCATTTGCCACTCGCCGATCTAACAGTCTAGCTCCAGCGACTAACTGCGCTGTTTCTAACTCACTTTGCAATCGTTTGATTTCTGCTTTATATTGTTGTAACTGACTTTGAGATACCGGTCCCGGTGCACACTTCAAACGCTCGTTTTCAGCTTGACTGCGTTTCAATACTTTTTTCAAGCAAACAATAATTTTTTCCAACTCTTTAGGAGATTTTCCACTCTCACCAATCTGGAAATCAAATAATGTGAAATAAAATGAAGCGAATACAAAAAAATTTGCTAACTCCTGTGAAATAGATCATCCTGTGCACATGTAGTTTTATTATGGAATGAAGAAACACCACAAAACTTTCCATTAAGAATTTAGTACCTATCAGTTGTGTTTATATGCGACTGGTCTTATATAAATCAAAAGCTACATCGTACGATTCTGCTTGGAACACAAAGCGATTAAAGTTGTTGGGTAAGGAGACGTATATTTGTTTCACGATGTAGAATAGTCATTCTATAAGCCGTCAGAGTACATTCTTGTTTGATTCGGTATCTCTGTTTACCATGAGACAATTATTTTAATCTTCCCAGTGTAAGTATGGTGTTCAGTTGAATAAAATTCATGTGTGTGTAATCGAATTGCAGTACTATTTACCTTCCTGTACTTCGAGCTCATTTTCACTGAATATGTAGTACTGCGATGGTTAATGGTTTTAACTGCCACAGAAAAACACTTGTGTAGAATCATCTATTTTTCCTTTAATAGTTTGTTTTGTGGTGTATCTATATACCAGTTATTAGCAGACAACTGCCTTCTAAATAATGCACTCAGTAGCTTCTCTAGTGAAGCCATGTGAATTACTGACAAATATCAAAGAGTAACATCAACACACACCGTTACCTTAGGTTTATTATTTCAGCCTACGTTGTCTACTAATCATGCTCATAAATCCATTGACAACAATTGGAAGGAATTTACCGTACACACAAAACAAATGTCTTAGAATTCATGATACCATCTATACTCATTTTCATCATATGTGGATTGGTTTTTATGGCAGAGGTAAAGACTTTCTAATTCTCAATTGTTCTATGACTGATTTTAACCTCTTTTGAAGTATGCCTACAAATACATCACTTAATTCACTTTTTAAATCAACTTTTATTAATCTGATACAGATAGTGAAGTGCCAGTATTTCTCGAAATACAACCATTTTCAGTGCATTTTTATAGAGTATATCAATCAAAGAAACTTCAAACTATTAAAGTCCCCATCGTCAGCTAAACAGCTTCAAATACTGTTTCGTTAAAAAATTAACTCAATGCTGTAAACTATTGTGTTATTATTAATTTAATTTATTTGCTTTCACTATTATTTATTTGTATATTGATAATAGTAAACTTCCACAATACAGTGAATTGTTGTTTATAAATGTAGCCTTAGTGAAGAGTATAAAGGGGGAAAACAATAATCAAGTGTTTCTATAGCAACAGGCATATCTGAAGTTATTATATAAAGGAAAAAAAAAACTCTAAAACCTGTGGAGTTCCAAAACATTTCTTATAATATTGTAGATCAGTTATGATGAAGGGAATAAGTGAACATGAAGGTTTACGTATACGCAAGTCAATACCAGGATTGAAAACAAGCCGTTTACAGCATGAAGATGACGATGCTGGTGATGATAATGTACAATTACTGAAGAAAAATGTGGGAAACAAGAAACGTAATTATGATTATAGAAGATATAATCAATCTTCAACAAAATATCTTTCCTACATTGACAATGTACCTTTTGCACGTCGTAAAAAGCCAGATTCATGGCTGATATGCTTTACAGAAATAAGCATAGTATGTGGCGTTCTGTTGCTTGGCTATTCAGTCTATCAATATTCTGATAGGATGTATATACCAATCACAAAATTCTACGCCAATTTAGGCATAAAAGTAAGTTGCTAAAAATTGTTAATTCATGTGTATCATAAAGTGAACGTATTGGGATTCTTACTGTTGATAATGTAACTTATTGTCCCTTGTCGAATAAACTTATATATATATATATACCAACACTACCACAGGTACCTTTATTTCCTCATAAACTGTCATTCTAATAGTGTGAAACAATGTCAGAACCACCTTAGAGTTATATAAAAATATATCAATCAGGAGGGTTCAAAAAACTGAATATGGGACTGCTGAGAATGCCAGATTGTGTCAGAAGTATAGTTTGGGATAAAACCACTATTATTATTGTGTTTACCATAATAATAATTATTATTATAGGGTTCGCTCTCTTTTCACTCACGACTGTCACTCGCTTTATTTTCAGTTTTATTCGTTTTCATGTGTAAGAAAATCACAAGATGTTATAGTCTAAAAAAATTCTTATATTTTAACCAGTGTTTTGTACCTTAGTTTTGCAGGAAGGTAATAGTTTTCACGAACTGTATTTACTTTGTACTTCACATGGATATGCTTAACTGTGATTGTAGCGTAGTATTATTACAGAGGAACAGGTTTACAGCTGGGCATGGAGTCGATCACCTTGAGTTATGAAAATAATAATAATAATAATTAGCTAATATGCTCTGTTGTTTCTTAATCCAACTTTTGACTGTAGTCAAGTCAGTCGAGGTAAGAAAGGAATATTCTACTGACAAAGTAGGAAATGAATATGAAGCAATCACAGAATGTGGGATGTAGACAAGGGGAAAAATGGGGTGCTGCAACCTAAAACCCAGGGAATTAAAATCAATAGCCGTCAAAGTAGTTAGTTGCTGATAGTTATGTAATGCTAAATAAGTCAGTTATAGTTTGCCCTTGCAACAGAGATCCCCTCTCTGAATTTAATTGTTCGCGTTTTATCTAGTAACCATCAAATGTCTAACCATGGGACTTATTTGGAGTGTATCAGTCTATCTGTTATTCCAAAGTCAGTAGATGAAATGTAATCTGTAAAATTTGTGTCCTCTCTTCGTTAACGATGGTCCCCTTAAAAATTGCTTGTAAACGTGGTGGTATAGAATAATGATTCATATAAATAGTTGGGAGCAACTCATGCCAACTAGTAGTGCTTGGTAGCCAGGTTGAAGCGATGTAAACGCCGATCTGGTTAACGTGAGTGGTTTTCAACCAGCATAATATATCATTACGCACTCTTTCTTGCCTTCTTGATAGTCATTCATAATGAAGATTACATATTGAGATCTGAATAATTTCGGTTTCCAAAGAAAGCCGTGGCGAATTCTCCTCTGGCTATATGGGAATTCGATTCTACCTACAGAGGTATTTTCTGAATTGAGTCTTTTTAGACAAACGAAACTCTAAACAGAAAAGTTAATTTTACCTACCTGAAGTCAACTGTCAAAATTTGAGACTGTTGCTCGTGTTAGTGTTGGGTAAAACTTAGGTGACAGTGTTTGCTTACACACAATGAGATCTCTTAGCTAAGCTGAGACATACTGCTAATGGACTTATGTGATTTTGAGTGTGATCCCATTGTCCGCTACTTTCTGTGCTTAGTATTCTGTAGAACTGAGTTAATTTGGAAAGTGACTTTCTTATATGAAGTTTCTTAATGTTTTTTTTTGAGTGAAAGGAGGAAAATTTTTATAACCTTAGTGGGATCTGACGTCTTCACGTCTTCAGACACCTTTATTAATTTCCATTTAATTGTTCTCTTTTCTTTAATATCCTCTCCATTTTGTTTCTCTAGCAGTCGGCTTCTGTTCACCTTGCTTCTTTTCTGTTCTGCAATGAAATATCAGTGACTTGATTTAAAACAGTTCTGTGCATGATTTTACGTTAACCTATGCATTTGTCTGTCTATTGATTTTCAGAAGTTATTTAATGCAAACGTTATTTACATAGTATATAAAAAGTTTAATAGACAAAAAATCTACTTTGTGTTCATTAGGTTATTTTCACACAAATCAATCGTATTGCTTTAATGGACACTCAATAATGTTGATTAGGATGAATCATTATTATCATTGCCTTTCGCAACATAAGTTCTGTTCACTCCGAATTGTCACTATTTAACCAGGTAGAAAAGTGTTATTTTCCGGTTCCAAGTTGAATACTTTTTGGACCAAAACAGACGAGATTGGTGTAACTTAGAGCCTTATAGTAACGAAATTTACAACCATGTGAGGCTATCACTTACTTTTTTTCCCTTATTTCATGGCTTCATGTGACACTATGGTTTTGTGTACCTTTATATAATAAATATAAAGTGATACACTTATCCTGTCTTTCCACTCCATTTTGTTGAATTTTTTAGAAGTTGTGCTTATCGATTAAGTTGGTTATCTTTTATCGCATAGCTGTCACATGCTCTTGTTTAATCTGATACACTGTTGTTGAATTACCTCCTGCATCAGTAAACTACTAATGCAATTTACCAACTTCCCCAACCAAATTGTATTTTTTTAAATGATTGAATTAGTTCACTTTTAGGCTATTCTTTTCTAACCATACAAATAAGTCATTGGTCCTAAAAGGACCTATTCACTCACTAATCATTTGAAAAACAGAAGGCTTAGGTCATTTATATACAGTGAAGCTTATAAAACTAATGAAAGGAGTTCTTCAGTGAAGCCATATGCGTCCGTTGATTTACAGAATTTGTGAGGATACCACCTAAAACAACTAATTAAAAGCAAAGAAGAAGTAATCACTATATTTTCCCAGTTTGACTGTACAAAGTAAACATTTGTGCTTTACTTCCGCTCTAATGGCTTAACTGTACTGTTTGTTTCCTGATTAAGATGTAAGGAATGAAACGGTTATCAGCTATTCGTCTGAATTATTCAGATAGATGAAAATGCGTTACTATAGTCCTAAATATGTTAGAAATCAGTGGTTACCGACTCTCTGTTACATGCGTGACTCAAATTCGTTCACAATGGCACAATCATATACTCTCCATAACATCTCTTAAATTCTGAACATTATCACTAATCTTCATTTATTTATTTTCTCCCATGCTTAACTTCTCTCCTGTTATGTGCGTTTCTTTGAAGTGTGGCTCTTTTATGCAAAGTTTCACAATGATTCATCAGTCTGTCATCTCACATCTACGAATACGCTAACATGCAGTATCAACGATAATTCATAATCAATTTGCATTAAAATTAAACAATACACATATTTGATTCTGTTGTAACTTAATCAGTCCTATCGTTTCTATTTGTGCGTCGGTGGCACAGTGGTTAGGACTCTCGCCGACCATACACATGGTCCGAAGTTCGATCCCCTGCCGACGAACACCTGATATCTATGGTCGGCTTGCAAAACTTGGGCTACCGATATCACATGCTGAAAATTCCATACTTGTACCAAAAATACAGTGTGGAATCAAGCTGTAAGTCAAAAAAAAATTAAAAAATTTATATTAAAGATTTGAATTAGTAATAGGGAATATTTTTAAGTGTAACAACGGAGACCGTTTTTCTTATGCAACTGTCAATATAATTTTTAAAAAATCCATTTACATGTACTTTTGCAAAGTTATGTTACTTTATCCATTGAATTAAATAAAAGTAGTTAGAAATTGGATAGAAGTACTAAGAAAAGTAAATCGATGATTGAATGAAAGATATGACATAAACATAAACATGTAGGAAAGCTAAGACAGATGAAGAAAACTTTCAAAACACGAACACGTAAAGATTGCAATCACTAGTCCACAAAACACCACTGTCGGTGAGGTACATTAGTATAGAAAACTCTTCATTAAAGAGATTATAACCTTTAGTAGCAAATGTTTCTTACCATTTTAATACTCTTTAGTTTTTTGTAACATTTGTGGTTACTTTTTGACTTTTACATGGTTGTAAATCATGGGTACTATGTGTATACTTATCCTTCAAAAATAACACATTTAAGGTGAAAATGTAATCTCATCTTTCCATCAGACAGATCGATGTAAGATCCAGTAAGCAAATATACACTTATATAAGTGCGGAACTGGGCCACTGGTGGAATATATGAGTTTATCTAATATACAATAAATACATTTACCTCATGCTCATTATGAACTATTCGTAGCTCAATTACAAGCAATACAGCGGAAGATATATATATATATATATATATAATTTAAAGAAGTGAAGTGGTTGACAAATTGCATCAGCCCAGTTTGACTGATTACTGGTGAAATCTGAATACAGATGCGATAGGTTCACCTGGTTTTCGCTAACTGACGCTATCTCCGATATAGACGGCTATCCATCAAAGGACGTGTGCATAGTAACAATCACTTTATTCTAAACAACAATAATAATTATACAGAATGGAATTGTCAGCGTTTTTATACATACTGCAGTTCAGTCTGTCCTCTTTTATGGCTGTGAGAGGTGGCTGATAAAAGTGTAATAAATGAAGAAGCCAGTTACTTTCCACCATAGGTATTTACGTTCTATCTCTCGTGTTAAGTGATATAATATGCTGAATAATACTGAGATTAGACGTAAAGTGTTAGATAATGAATGTTAATCGATAAGCTTTTGATTCTGCACGAATTCAGATGGCCAGGTCATATGTTACGCATGACAAGTCATCATCTTCCCCATCGAGTAATGTTAAGTGAAGGAAGAACAGTAGTTTATGCAGAATAAGATGGTACCATCATTTATTTTGTTGGCTTCTCGTCAGCTGCTTACCAAATACAGATATTATCAAGATTGTGTACAGAAACAATTTTAACATACCTGCAATTTCCACATGTTGTTATCTAATAGAGTTCAAATTTAAACAAAAAATCAGTGTGTGCATACAATGGCAAAGGAGTTATGTAGTAAAGACAAGAGGTAAGATGATGGGTAACTAATAAATTGAGCAATAATATGATTGTGGTGAGAGCAGGCTGCTAGCCAATTGGTAGACATTAATCTACGTCAATGTCTAGGTCACTAATATTGGCCGTGAGAAAATATGAGCAAGGC